TTTAAAAGAATTAGATGAAAATGGAAAGAGCCAACGACCGATAGTACACGTCGTTGAACCAAAGTATCAGGATTTTACTATTGTTTGTAGAAACTTTCTCACGCTACGCGGTTATAAAGAGTATAGCTGTAACGATTATGTTTTAGACTGTTTAAAAGAAGAAAACAGGTACATTCACGTTACTCCATCGTTTCGTTTCCTTATACGCATTAAAATTGTTCTTATTTTTCCTTATTTGTATTCAGGTTTTTTATCGTGAGTCCAAAAGATATTGTTGTAGCTAGTTTATATGATGCAGACGACAGAATTGAATGGCTTTTAAGTCACGGAAAGTTCGAACAGGCATTAGAAGCAGTGACGATAGACAATGGCAAAGATTGTAAAAAGCACACTTTAGTAAATGTCGGGCGTGTCTATTTAGATCACTTACTAGCCTGTGGAAAATACGATGAGGCAGGAAAACTGTGTTTAAAAGTTCTAGGAAGAGATAAAAAATTATGGGAGGAAGAAGTAAATGTCGTTCGTTAAGTTACGTTGGACTACTGTCTTTTTTATTGTATTAATATTATATTTCTTGTAGGTGTACAAGTTTGCAAGAGTTCACCAACTACGGTCCATTTCTTCTTACCTTCCGAAAGGCGACGTAACGTTAGATCCATTGATATACGAAATGGTTCTATACGAATATTTGAAAATGGATCTCGATGGATTTCTTGATTTAGTGAAAGAATGGCCTCCAACATTGTACAAAGTTGTGGCCGTTATGAACGGTGTTCTGGAACACATTCGAGTTCACAATCAACGGAAACACGTACTTTTCGAAGCTTTAGCCATTTTATACATTCACGACGGGAAATACGACAAAGCGTTAGCTATGTACTTAAAGTTGAGGCACAAAGATGTGTTTCAATTTATCCAAAAGTACAAACTACACAATACCGTTTACGACATGATAGAAGGCTTAATGGATTTAGATACGGAACGAGCTATACAATTTTTTTTAGAAAAGGACAGAGTGCCATCTGAAATTGTCGTACAAAAATTACAGCATAACCATCGATATTTATATCTGGTAAGATTCATGATTAAGCATATGTTATTCGTCTAGTAATAGCTACTTATGCTTCGAAAATTGCTTACACCAGTATTTAGATGCGTTAGATAAGAAGGACACGAAAGATTCGAAGGGCAAGTACCACGGATTGCTAGTCCAACTTTATGCAGATTACTCTCGAGATAAATTGTTACCTCTTTTACGCCGCTCTGATAATTACCCGATACAACAAGCGCTAGATATTTGCAGTCAGCGAAAATTTTATGAAGAAATGGTTTATTTACTTGGTAGAATTGGAAATACTTCTGAAGCTCTAGCGCTCATGACAGGGAAATTAAACGATATGGAAAAAGCGATTACGTTCTGTCAAGAACACGACGACGAGGAATTGTGGAACGATTTAATTAATTATTCTCTAGACAAACCTGGTATGTATTAATACATTAATGATCACGATATTCCTGTATAAGTATGACAAACTAAACTATTTCGTTTCAGAGGCTATCACGTTTCTTCTTCAAAAGATCGGTACTTACGTGGATCCCAGACTTATGATACAAAAGATAGAACCGTCTTTAGAAATACCTGGCTTAAAGAAAGCTTTAGTTAAAATGATGTGTGATTACAATCTTCAAGTATCCGTGCAAGAAGGTTGTAACAAATCGTTATCCAATGATTATTTTAATCTACAAGAAAGGCTGGTTAGATGTCACCAGAAAGGAATATTTATAGATGGTTAGTACCTATTACGAAATAATTATAATAATTACAATTAGTTAATAATCATGATATTATTCTTTATCAGATGATCAAATGTGTGGAGGGTGTCACGAAAAAATAATTGTAAGAGGTATCTATTCAAGTACTATGAATGTGATTTGAATTAACGTTAACTTTATTTATGTTATATTCCCCGAACATTGTTTGTTACAGAACCAAGGAATTTAATTGTTTTTTATTGCAAGCATTCGTTTCATGAAGATTGCCTACAGAACTTCAAGGCAGTGGTATGTAATTTATTTTTAAATTACTTTAGACACTCTTCAAAAGTCTACAGAATTTCATATATATTCTCATTTTATTTTGCAGGAAAATTGCGTCATATGCAACTCGCAAAAGGAAACGTCGCCCAATAGAAAATGATACAAGTAAAATTTATGAGTAACCTAATCTCTTTTACATTTTTATATATTATCTTGATCTACACTACATTTTTTTAATTGTTGTATAATTTGGTCAATGGTAGAACATTTTGGACATGTGGCGAAAACTTTGAGGCATCCAGGGCACTTTGATAAGAGCTAGAAATTGAACAGTTGTAATTATATATATTTAAATACAACATTAAATTTTCGTGAAAAATGACGTAAGATTTACTTGATGATTATGGCAAGCTTTTACAATATTATGACATTGGTCGTGAGTTTCTTTCAACTGTAGACAATCGTGAGACATACTACATTCCTTTTCCACGTGTATGTCGCTTGTAGATGTTTTCGAAGTGGATGCGTCATCTTTTTCTTGCTTATCAAGTATTATATTGTTGTAACTTTTCGAAGGGCTAAATTCTATAGAATCGTAGGAGTTCTGAAATGAATGTTCCGTCTTTATTATGAATTTACTTTGAACTATCAGGTACTTACTGTCATCTCGAGACATTCCTCTGCAGAAGACCTCGAAGTTTCGTTTAACGTGTTACTGTCTATCCAAAATCCACAGATACTGCATACGACCTCAGATTTTTCCTTTGCAAGCTGTGATTTTACGTCAACGTCATAATTCTCGTCCGATATACTGGTCTCCCAAGTTATTGGATTTGTGGCAAATGCTTTGAAATGTTGTATCGTGAAGTCTATTACATTTTCAGGTTTTACTGCGGAGACCAGTGAAGTTTAAACTTATTGCAATGCGTAAATGTGTTTATATACATAATATGACCTGTCTAAGAAGGATTGGTACAATGGTTATCCAGTTGAGATTACCAACTAATAGCGTTTGAGTGTAATCCGCCAGCAATTGTTTTATTTCTGGACGGTCTGCTAGGTATTCCGTTTGCTCTGCCACTTTAGAAAACTATTTATATAACAGAACGTGCACTTTTTCAAATTTCTATATACGACTGCATACTAAAAATATTTAATACCACTTCTTTACTTTCGCATCCAAATATTTAGAAACCATTTCAATATCTTCTGACCAGTGTTCTTTTAACGGTGTCTCAACTCTTACAGTTTTACTTGCGACAGTCGGGTCGACAAATGGATTAATTTTTAAAATATAAGGCGCGTCCAGCCAATTATGTCGAAGTATTCTACCTTGCGAAGTCAAATAAGTTTTCACAGTATTAACAGTTTCGTCCGTTCTGTGTATTTTACGCTCAATCGTATAAACGCTTAAAAAATGATCGTCTATTTCCATACGTTCAGCTTGAGTACATGTCTGCGAGAAAACAAATCTTTTTATTTTAATTTATCAAAGTAGATTCCTATTTTCTTACATAATTAGAAACAGCAAGGTCTCCATCCATGGTAATACTCTCAAGAGATAGCGTTCCATCATAATTTATAAGTGCCAAATACCGCATAAGCAATACGTTTACTCCTTCGCTTATTAATCGGTCATTACAAGGAAAAGATAAGTCTTTGGTTTCCGTAGATTCATCACACGGACAAGCGCACGTCAATTTTACATGGTAGAAATTGTCTTCCATTCCTATATAAGTAGTTTTCTCGTGCAACCCATCATCTTCGTATACGAATCTGAAATGATTTATTGTATCAATGTAATTCGAGTAAATCTCGATATGGACATTTATGGACATCAACCAACTCTGTCCTTTTTTCTTCCAGGCAGTGGAATTTCGACGTTGTCGAGCTTATAACTTTCGAACCGCCAAAGTGATCATCGACGGACATAGAAGATTGTACGTGCACTAAAAATTCACGGGCTTGTGGTCCGATGGATTCTACTAGAATGCAGTAACCGCCTACTGGTTTCGTGTCCTTCATAGGCTCACTTTTTGAGCAAATTATCAAGGTTTCTCGAAAGCATAAAGCATTTCGTTTTGCATTATCTGAAGTACAAAAGAAAAAAAAGAGGATATTTAGCGTACTCGACGAGATCTGTCTTTTCAACAAATTCTGCTGTACAATAGTGGGAACTACGATTTCCTTGGGCATAGATACGCTACATTCCATAAATGCCTCATTTCACCAACAACAAATAAATTTATCGCTATATATATTTTTCTATATCAGATTTTATTACGCACCGTTTTCGTGGATGTTTGTCTATTTTATTTATCAAATGTCTTTGTTCGTTGTTGGAGAAATTTAGTTAGAACAAATCGAATGAGCTAACGTCTCTTTTATCCGAGAACTCTTTACATATTTTACTACACATGCATCATTGTTGTGTTTTAAACTGATTTATCGTAAACCTCTGATTCGCTGTATATACTAATATATAAATTGAGGTTTTAAATGTAAGCGAAACATTTTTTTATATGTGTACGTATCAGAATGTACAGCAAGCCGTTCGTGAAATTAATACGATATTATGTATTCTGTGTTTTGCACACCAAGGTGCCATTATTGTATAAAACCATTGTAGCATATTCTTTAGTTACGAGATTTTATCGGTATCGCATCTATAAATCACGGATACAATTAAGATATTTTATTTAAATCTTCGTGTAAATACGATTATTAATTAGTATTGAATAATAATATATAAAATGTACCGAATATATAGATTTTTCACGTCACTTCTAAAAGCTATTCGTTTAATAATTCTTAAGGCTTTTTCGCGGTGATTTTTATAATTAAAGATCGTTTTCTCTAAATGAATGAAAGTACTTTTGTTCCTTACGATTAAAAAAAAGGTTTTTATCAAGGGAAATCAACCAGCAAATATAGATTTACCAATCAGAACTTCAGGAATCCATTTATGAATGTCAAACTTCTTACAGAAATTTTCTTCCGAATCGTTCGACATTTCAGCGAGCTTTGTAAAGAAACATTTCGTGAAAAAATGAATAATAAACAGAAGTTGGTAATCGTAGTTTGAATTGAAAATAGCCTCTTCATAAGACTGAAGTAAACTTCTCAGATATGTACGAAATAAATAGGAATCACGTGTCGTTTAATGTACAATTCGTATAGCGAACAAAATGTATACCAAAAGGTTGTTAAAAAGGCGATTAGATGTTCATGTCTGCGAACTACCGCAAACATCCGAGAGCAATTTACCAAAATTGCCTCCGAATGCAAAATTTTACGCGCATTGGAGGCGAAATTTTCAGAAGTTAATTCTGGTTTCTGTAAATCATCCATTAATACGTAACTTTCTACGCAGTTATGCTGCTGTCGCGTTTGAAAAACGAAGACATGGACGTTCTTCGTTTTGGTGGGTAATACATCCCTGCAGTAAGTTGAGGTAATTCTTATTTGTGCAAGGGTTTATTTAAAGTCTTTTTATTGAAATTCTATGTGTAGATTATATGTATATAGAATTCAACTGAATATTTATTATTCGCACAGGTTTTATTGGGACCTCTTAATGACATTCATTTTCCTGTACCTCTTCATAGCTGTGCCATATCTTTTCGCATTTCATAGAGTAGCGAAAAGTTCTGGTCCAGAAAGCTTAAACCCACTGTATCCTGCATACATTGTTTGTATATTGGATATTGTTTTGAATTTTATAACTGGATTTACATCATCCAATCGTCATGAAATCTTTCTGGATCCAGTTCTAATAACACGGTAATGCAATTTACTTTTTACTATTTTTCATTAGGAGAGCTTAAATATTATTTTTATACAGGCATTACGCAAGAGGATATTTTATAATTGATTTTGTATCTTCGGTTCCTTACATATGGTTTTATAGATATCGTATATTGCATCCAGGTCCTGACTCAAATTCTATTTTCTTGATTCCTGAATTTTTGCTGCTCTTTAAGCTCTTCCGTATTTATACGTTACGTCTTTACGTGAAACAAATAATTACAGTAAGAAGTAGCAATAGCAAGTTCAAAGGTTTTGGTGCACTCTTTAAAAATTATTATTTAATCGTAGAGTTTCTCAGTTTCTCATGCTACAGAAAAAACTATTTGGTTAGCTCTGCTGATGTTATTAATGTTTCATTGGTGTAGCTGTGTATCGCATGCATTTCCAATTGTGGTTGCACATGTATACGGAGAGACCATGAAGGTACATATAAATTAATTGATGAATTAAAAGTATTCACCATTGAAATGAAAATAAAAATGAGTCAAAATACAATCTTAATAATTTCAGGATTTTGGAATGTATTTGTGTACTGCAGAATTATACAAAAGAAGTGACCTGGAAATTTATTTAATGTATTTTCATATCGGCATAAGCAACTTCTTTGGATCAAGCTTTATCGAATTTTATTCCTTTAGTAAAGTGGATACTGTGATACGTTGTATACTTTTGCTGATAGGAAGAGGATTTATGTTTTATTTCATGGGTAATCGATTCTTGAAATAGGTAAAAATTGTATATTAAATGAAATGGTCTTAATTTCAGTGATGATCTTGCAATTTCTCGAATCCGCTGTGGAACCAGAGCTAAAGTACGAACGTATTATTCATCAAGTGAAAGAATACATTTACGAAAAGAAACTCCCAGAACGTCTCAAAGATAAACTTCTGGCATATTACGAGTATCGTTTTCAAGGCAGTTACTTTAAGGAAAAGGCCATATCCAGCACTTTATCTGGTTAATAATCGATGTAGATAAATCACAAGCTACTACTTTCATATACTATTTTCATAAATATTATTTATAGAACATTTAAACCAGGAAATTATAATCCACAGTAGTCGTGGCTTATTAGACACAGCCACGATTCTACATTATCTACCACGCAATGTTATTGGAAATTTAATGGGTGAGGTAGAGAAAAAATAAAAAATCTTTCCTTTCTATTGTAACATTAACATTTAACGTTAACATTTTCAGGGATTCTAAAACAGGTGATTTATCTGAACGAAGATATTATTTATAAAAGCGAAACTGAAGGTGACTGTATGTTTTTCATAATCAGCGGTACCGTCGCTCTTATTACATTTCATGGAAAAGAAGTATGCAAAGTTTATACGTAATCCTTTCTACTACTTGAAAAAGAGAAAAATATAATTAGTTTTTATTGTATATATGTAGATATGTCACGAGAAGGATGGAGGCTATTTCGGGGAGGGTGCTTTAATTTTCCCGGAACAAAGAAGATTAGAAACTGTAATGGCGCTGGAAGTTTGCGAATTATTGCGTTTAAATCGTCGCGATTTCAAACGCATGTTCTCGTTAACATCGACGTTTTATAGAAGATTGGACAAAGTTGCAAGGGAGAGGCGCGAGAAAATAATTAATTTAAATAGTAATCACGAGAAAATTCGTTCGGAAAATAACGAAGCGATTAATGAGACGCCGGACGGTGCCGAAAATAATCATCAGAAAGGAGACGTTTAAATGCTGATTAACGAGAGTAATTAATATTAAAATAAAGAGTAATAATACTTGATTAGTATTGAAATTTTTCTATACAATTCGTGGAGATTACGGAGAGTTTCGTTTAATATAATTAATTATAAATTTATTAGAAAAACAATGCCATAATTCTTTGTCATGCAGCATTATTTTCTGATAAATTATATTAAATAAACACACGGACAAATCTATTGAATTCTTAATTAAATCTAAATCTATAATAATTCTATCAGATTGTAACATTTTTTAATCTGTAAGATATACTATGTATTAGGTCGTCCTAAAAGTTTGTGTCATTTATACTTAAATTTTTCAAATTAATATGTGAAACATACTCTTCAGTGTCGCAAGAGAAGATAATCTGACTCATTTCACCTCTTTCATATAGTCATTATACTGTTACTAGAAAATTTCTGTGGTTTTTTATTAAATTTCGACACAGTTTTCGGCACGAACTTATGGGACGACCTAATATATACTGGAATTTAAAAGGAAAGGATAGTGTGGCAGTGTCACGCAGACGTGAACTGCATTCTGTTTTTTACATACTACCACATACTACAATTTCTCTTTTCTCGTCCTCGTACTTATTCGCATGCGTATGATTCGTCAGCTTTTTCCGGTTTCGCGTGTCGCGAAATTTTGGAACTCGAATCGAAGTTACGCAGTGTAATTAATTTTATTGTAATATTAAACTACTCCAGTTACATCGGTAACAACTTTCCCTGTAATCGTAATCTAATTCTAAGTCTATTTATTTTCGACACCTTAAAAGTGGTTCGTATAGATTTATTTCGTAATTATTACTCTTAATCACTTAACAGCGATAAAATTGTGTCCGTTATCGTTCAAATATAATTTCATGTTTCTTTAGTCCGCTATCAAAACACACTGACAATGTTATCGCGTTAAAAATAAATCTTTGACTGTGCATTAAGAGGTTAGGTTTACAAGTTTGACAAGCCTGTTAATACACGTGGCCGGCATACGCGTGTCACTTCCTTTAAAACATCTTAGCTTCCAGCTGATCAAATGTTTTAAGAATTTTATTCTCTTACTGTTTACTCAGAGTGACAAACATGGTTGAACTCAAGTGGGAAGAAAAGTATGAACTTATCACTAGGAATTTGGCTGAGTGGCTTGGCGATGAGAAACTCAAAGGTATCCTAAAACAGCGAGATTTGAAACTCTACTGGGGTACAGCGACAACTGGAAAGCCACATGTTGGTTACTTCACGCCGATGTCTAAGATAGCAGACTTTTTAAGAGCTGGTGCAGAAGTTACTGTGTTATTCGCAGATCTTCATGCTTATTTAGATAACATGAAGGCACCTTGGGAACTTTTAGAACTTCGTGTTCAATACTACGAAGCAGTTATCAAAGCGATGCTCAAGTCTATCGATGTACCTTTGGACAAGCTAAAATTTGTCAAGGGAACGGAGTATCAGTTGTCTAAGTAAGTGATTATTTGGGAACAAATGAAACAAAGTAAAGGATATGTCTTAAATAAAATTAATTTTCCAGGGAATATACTTTGGATGTTTATCGTTTAACTTCTGTTGTAACCGAGCATGATGCAAAAAAGGCAGGTGCAGAAGTAGTTAAACAGGTGGCTAATCCTTTGCTCTCCGGATTGTTGTATCCAGGACTACAAGCTTTGGATGAAGAATACCTTAAGGTTGATGCTCAATTTGGTGGTGTGGATCAAAGAAAGATCTTCACTTTCTCTGAGAAATATTTGCCTATGCTTGGATACGAGAAACGTATCCATTTGATGAATCCAATGAGTACGTATACAATTTAAAAATATTGCAATACAAAATGTATTCATTAAAGCTAGAATAATAGAGTATATAATGTTCTATTTCAGTTCCTGGATTAGCGGGATCGAAAATGTCTTCTTCCGAGGACGATTCCAAGATTGATCTTTTAGATAATGCTGCAACAGTAAAAAAGAAGTTGAAAAAAGCATTTTGCGAACCTGGTAATGTCTCCGATAACGGAATTCTCTCGTTTGCCAAGCACGTAATATACTGTTTGTTAAAAGAGGGAGAGTCTTTTACTGTACCAAGAACCCCTGAATTTGGTGCGTGTAACTTTCAATATTTTATTTAGTTTATCGAAGGTTTTACTAACAAAAGACATCAATCTATAGGGGGAGATATATCGTTCGAGAAATATGAGGACTTGGAGAACGCGTTCGCTAAAGAAGAAATTCATCCTGGGGATTTAAAAAATGCAGCTGAAATTTACATTAACAAACTTTTGAATCCAATTATAAAAGAATTCGAAGCAGATCCGAAGTTGAAAGCTTTAGCGAGTAAAGCTTATCCTCCACCACAGAAGCAAAGTAATTTCAAACATATAAATGGGAAAATCGAATGACAGATTAACTAACGGTATGAAATTTGTGTTGAACATGTAGAAGCTGTAGAACAATTAACACCAGCCCGGTTAGACATCAGAGTTGGAAAGATAGTCGAAGTGTCGAAGCATCCCGATGCTGATTCACTGTACGTTGAAAAAATTGATTTGGGAGAGCCTACTGGGCCTCGTACGATCGTCAGCGGTCTTGTAAATTATGTACCACTGGAAGAAATGAAAGACAGAATGGTGGTTATTCTTGCAAACTTAAAACCGGCGAGTCTCAGAGGCATACAGTCTCACGGAATGGTTCTATGTGCATCTGTGTATGTTTAAGTTTAATTAATCTTTTCATTTTAATTTCGTCAAATATATATTTCTTTTTTAATTTCATGCTTCAATTCCAGAGACGAACCCACAAAGCGAGTCGAACCATTAAGACCGCCAGCAGATTGTAAACCAGGCGAGAAAGTCATTGTAGAGGGATACGAAGACGGATCGCCAGACGATGTACTAAACCCAAAGAAAAAAGTGTGGGAGAAGCTACAAGTACGTTTACTACTTTGTACAGTATAAAATCGTAAGTGCACAATTTATTGAAGTTTCATTTTTTTGTATAGGTTGATCTCGTAGTAAATGGTAATGGAGAAGCATCGTGGAGCGGAAATCTTCTGTTCACTGCAAGCGGTGGTAAACTTATAGCTGACAGTCTTAAAAACGTAACAATTAAATAATCCATTTTGAACACGTAAGTGTCTGAACAGTTTTATTTTATACAATATACAAGAATGACCGCAATTCGACCTTGCAAACGAGAGTGCTTGATATCTAAAACTGCTTTTTCTATTTTATTTGAATGTAGCATCACGATTTTGTATTTTTCATATGTAAGTACACGATTCCAAAAATAGATAGATGCAGCGAATTTTATATATTTATTAGAAAATAATAATAATAATAATATCTTCATCCTGTCCTTGTACTAAATCGTAATTGCTAATGAATCTTTAGAACATAGGAGCTTGAAAGAAAAATTGGATATTGGATATTGGACTAATTATTTAAATGGTATTTGATTTTTCATACTATATTATTTTGGTACCTGTACACATGTACATACGCGTATCCTATACAGACATTTATCTTCGTACAATAATGTGCAATAAATTTTCGCCGTGTTTGAATTAGTTTCTTCGTTTATATACAATTATATAAATTTGGCACACTCAAATAAAAATAAAAGTTTTATGCAGCGGTATTATTTCTTCGTATTCTACTTTACATTAAACTCTTCGTGTTATTTGTACTTGGCAGATTACTTTCTAATCAGTCATACCCAGAATTATCCAGATACTTATTTTTCTTATAATCAAAAAGTAAACTATATCTTTTTTTAATATACGAAATATATATAAAATTATGATCTCGGGATAGTGTAATTACGTACGTAAATAATTCTATTTCACTCGCGGTGGCAATGCATACTATTTTCTTAAAAGAATAAAATTAATTGCAATTGTTAATTCTTTATAAAACAGTTTACACGAATACATCTATATTTCTATAGTTATAAATTCTAACATTATTAGAACTTAAATTAATAGTAAAATTAATCTTTGATCTCCGTTAGATTTTCACTCCTACATAGCTAATAATAATGTAATATTTCGTAACTTCATTTTATTATTCACTCTTGATATTACTATCAAATCGCTAAAACGCAAGAAGCGAAAAAATTGGTAATAACTTGAATCATTGGAAAATCATAGTATAATCGCAATCAACGGATTAAATTATTAAAACGAATAATTAAATACTATAAACTATTTTTACTTAAATAAACGGGCTCAATAAAACTATAGTTTCACGTAATACAATTGATATTCGTATTTAACAATTTCTATCCACATAGGGATAATACCAATAGAGATGTACAAATCCGTAATACGTTATTTACAAACAAATACTATCGTTCCTAGTCACAGCAGTTCATATTAGAATATCGCTCGTTCGCCCTTAGAACTAAAGTTTTATAATAATCGAATGCGTGTATAGAAACTTTACTGATAGTCCTTGGACACTACGTTAAATGGGGAATCATTCGTCATCATCTTTATCGATATATTGAACAATATTTAACTACAATTTATAACAAACATTTGACTAGATTTCATAGTCTTATTCCGTGTCTTCGGCTTCGGATGACTGCGCGACAGGTAACGGCGACGGGATAACTAACTCGTCCTCCTCGACTTCCTCTTCCGCCAGCAAAAAGTCTTCACCTTCGTGTACTTCTTCTTCTCTAGCTGGCTCTGGTGGAGCTAACACGTCTTGTCCATGCTGCTTCAAATGGTCCTTCAAAGCGAACGCTCTACCGTATGACGCACCACAAATATAACAACTGAACTTCAAATTGTTGTCTTTCTTGTGAGTCTGTATGTGAGCACGCGCAGCGTACAGAGAGGCAAACGGCCTGGAACACTCGGTGCATCGAAACGGCTTGGTATGGCTGTTTTTGTGACCTGCTAATTGGACGCGCGTTTTGAAAGTTTTCGGACAATAAGGACACGTGTACGCGCGTTCTTCTCCGTGCGTGAGTAAATGGTGATTGTACACGGAAGAAGCCTTGAATCTCTTGCCACAATGTTGACATCCGTAAGGCCTCACGCCGGTATGAGTTCTCATGTGCAAGGTCAAACAATAGGAGACGCGAAACGTTTTACCACATACCTGTAATCAAATGTGTTTTAGTACAAATTTATATCTTATAAGGACTACGTTACATTAACGATACTCACTTCGCACGCGTGTGGCTTTTCGCCAGTATGAATGCGTTCATGCTTGACTTTCTCATGGGGTCTCGTGAATCTACGACCGCAATGTTGACACTGATAAGGCTTTTGATTCTCCGTGAGCTCAGCGTTTGCGGTCTCCGTGGCGGGTGGTGTCGGCGAGTGAGACTGACTAATTTCTGTGTGGACCGCGGCATGCATCGCTAAACTATCGGCAGAATCAAATTTACGATTGCAAACTGTGCACGTTACCGAGTCGCCAGAGTGCAACGCCATGTGTGCTTCCTTGTACGATTCTGCTAACGTTTTGCCTATAAATAACGAATAGCATTGTAAGTTTGACATGATATCGAAGTAATCTTTCGATCAAAAAATCTTTTTAAAATCGAATAATTGACAGTGATGGGACAAAGAACAATTCTTACCACACTCGGGACAAGTGAACGTAGCACTGGGCGTTCCCTCAGGTGCATCAACGTGTCTTGCTCTGACAGGCGCGTGCATTCGAGAATGCAAACGCAAGCTTTTGTGCGAACAAAATTCCGTACCGCAAGTTTCGCATACGAAAGTTTTCTGATTCGGATCCGGTTCACCTTCGTGTACTTTTGCATGCAATTGCAATGCTTTTGGCGTTGCGAACGTTTGGTCGCAACTATCACAACGATTATGGCCATGAAGACACGCGTGTACCCGAAAATTCCCTAATTTTGAAAACTGCTGAAGGCACTGATTGCATCTGTACATTCTCAATGGCGTCTCTGCCAATCTTTTTTCGCGTACCTGTAATAAATTCGCACAATTTAACGATATCGAGCTAGTATTAAATTTTAAAGGTATGATGTAGATATTTCTCGTACTTTCACTCCTTCCACATTAGAAAAGAACTTCTCGATCATCGGTGCTTTAGTAGACTGCAACGACGTTTGAGCAGCGTTCCTGTCCCAAAACCTTTCTATTTGCACCACTTTTCGCGTATACAATCTTCCTTCGCTATCTATGCACTCTTCCGTACGAAGAGTATTCATGCCTTTTCTATGACGCGTACTACTTATACTTCCAGATTCCGTTGATAAGGTATTAGTCGTAGATACCGTAGGTAAGTCGTCTAATTGGTCAGCTATTTCGAGTAGCACTTCTTGTCCATCGTGATACTGTTTTATATGTTCCACAACAGAATTGAAACTCATATCGCAACTGGTACAGCTATAAACAGCTTCTGGCTCTATCTGTAAAAGAGAAATATGCATTCCACCTCTGTTTAGAAGTAAACGTTGCGCATTCTTATTTATACCTCGCAGAGTTCTTGTTTTACGTGCAACAATCCATTTTCATCTAATTCGCCCACGTCGTTTATATGATCCATATTTATCAGAGCACCGGTGTTTCCATCGAGAAGTTCCGATCCATCGGGTAAAATAGTAATTACATTTTTATTTCTGCTTTTATCATCTGACTCCGAAGCAGTAATAGTTACCAGCTGATTTTGAGTTAAAGTCTTTTCTTCCGATTTGCTAGCGGTACTAGGAACTTTTTCTCGCATTTCGAACTCTAGAGGATTTTTCTCTATTTGCGATTGCTCTATCTCCTCGGTTTCCATTTTTTCTACGACTTTAATCTCTCCTGATATTTTTGTTAGAAACAATAAACAGATGAATAGAATTAACATATATTAAATTAGGATTTCTACACACCGTTTTCATCGACTTGTATTGTTTGAGGTCCTCCAACTATCATAATACCACTGTCGTTAACAGTGGCTAAGAAACTTTGGTCTATCCCTTCGACATTTGTGCCCTAGAATAAGAATTATCATGTAGAGACCAAAGTAGATGCTGATATAAAGACTTTTGTTATAGTTCAAACCATTAACACCTCCGTGTCTGGCTCTGGTTCGTGTTGAACCTCAAGCCTAGACTTATGCTCAGATTCAGGTGGCTCCTCTGAATCTACGTCTTGTCCACACCGATCCAAATGGTGAATGAGTGCCATTACAGAGTCAGAACGCTGGGAACAACCAGGACAATACAGGTTGTCTGTCATGCTTAATAAATGATATTTCAACGACTGTGGATTGTTAAATGTTTCACCACAGCACATCGGGCAAACAAGGTTCAGCGAGCCCATATCTTTTTCGTTTTAACGTTAACCTTGTAGAGGGTCTTCGTTGACCCTAACCTGAACCTATACTACAATATTAACCTAACTTGGTTTTTGTACGTTTTTCTACCCTAGCCTTAACTAAAAAGTGGAGCCGGCTTCTTGATGTCGAGATCCTAACCTGACGATGAATTAGAAAAATCAGTAAAATCGCGTAAACATGTCCGGATGCCAAACAATGTCATGTTTTTCCTTTCGCGGATTTGATTTTCCTGTGCGAAGCGTAAACTGTCCCTAATCAATTGCGTTATACAAAAATAAATATCACCACAATTCTCGCGATATCTGCAATAACAAAACTCATTAGAGACGAACTTCAGCGCAAACAAATGCCGCACACAACAATCATGAAGTTAGGGAAGTGATAAGTGAATCGCGAAGTCGGCCATTACATGCGAGCCTTGGTGTAAAACTATCGAGGTCAAATTCGAGCTCCGGTCGTTTACCACTGAACTATACTAATATACGTTCTACCGAGACAGCTGATCTCGATCCATGATCCATATTACTAGAAACCACTAGGTTTTTATCAGTGAGCTTCCTTATTGAACGTCACAGTGAGCGAACAGAGGAGCGGCGGGCTAGTTTGAATTTGTTTAATTTCATAATAAACCAAAAGACGTATGGAAGGGGAAAGACGAAGGAGCGATGATCAACGAGTTGACGATCAATCAACAAGATTAGTATTGACTGTTAACGAGCGTGTCATATACAGGGTGTCTCAAAAATGTTGTAACACCTTGAAATGGGTGGTTCGGGGGGTGATTTGAAACAACTTTTTCCTTAGCGAAAATGTTGTCCGAGGCTTCGTTGAGGAGATATTAACGGAAAACACTGACCAATCAGAGCGCGCAGATACCGTTGGAGCGGCCGCGGTAGCGTATGAGCGCGGCCGCCTAGCACGTAGCCTACGCTCCATCGGCATACGCGCGCTCTGATTGGTCGGGGTTTTCTCTCAATATCTCCTCAACGAAGCCTCGGACAACATTTTCGCTAAGGAAAAAGTTGTTTCAAATCACCCCCCGAACCACCCATTTCAAGGTGTTACAACATTTTTGGGACACCCTGTATAAGTACTATTGTGTGATAAATAAATTATATTCTACGCCTTCCTATTCATAGTGTACTTCGTTTTCATCTCCCTCTTTTCCTTAGGACATTTCCTGGAACATTTCCTCACTGCGCCTACGAGATGGCAACCGATACTGCCGGTTTGTCTGTTCGGTGGCCATCTTGTAGGCGCAGAGGTGTCCCTGTTATGCGGCAACCGTTTCTAGTCTTATTGTCGGCATATTGGTGCGTTCTCTCTCGCACTATGCGTATATGTCTATCCCTGTCGTACATTCCTATATGCGTATATGTATATCCCCCCCTCTCTCTCTCTTCAGTTGAGCTTTCACTGAGCGGCTTAGTGAGCAGTTTTGTTTTTGAATTGAACGCGTTGGTACGAATATAATCAAATATGACATAAAATGTTTAAAGTAGTGTTGTGTTAAAGAATTTTTTTTTTAATATTCTGAATTGTTTTAACGACTACATACATTTTCAGTACCTTCACCGAACGTATCATAGTATGTTATTAATATTTTAATTGAATTCTAACGAAGAATTTATCGTATTATTAAATAACATGGAAACTGTTCGAGAATTTCCTTTCCCTTTTCCACCGTATCCTATACAAAATCAATTTATGGAAAAATTGTATGGATGCTTGGAAAATGGTAATTTGGGAATCTTTGAAAGCCCAACAGGTACCGGTAAATCTATGTCAATAATCTGTGGTGCTCTGAAATGGCTAATCGACCATGAAGAATTGCAAAAGAGCGAATTAACTACTGCAATTTCTGAACTTGATGAGAAAATAGAGAAATGTGTTAATTCTGCAGATGATTGGTTGTCTGTTCAGTCTGAACAGATACAATTGAATAGTAAAAGACAAGTTCTTCAAGCAAAGTTAAATAGTATTTCTCAATATGAACGTAAGAAAACTTCATTGAAAGATAGAGCTAAAAATATAGATAATAAAAAGAAGTCACACAAGCAAAGTAAGACAAAATATATAAAAAATGAAGTAAAGACTGAAAATGATTTGCCACTTGACAAATTGAATGTAAAGGAAGAAAATGTTGAAGAGGATTTACTGTTAGAAGATGTAGTACAACATTCGGATGGTTCTGAAAGCGAAAACGAGGAAGAAGAAATCTATAAAAACACCAAAATCATCTTTTGTTCCAGAACTCATTCTCAATTATCACAATTTATAGGGGAACTCAAAAAAAGTCCTTACTCAAAAAATATATCTGTCGTAACATTGGCATCTAGGTAATTTTTAAGAATGTTCTTTGTTGTGATGTATAAGATTAAAATTGAAGAAATTTTAAAAATAGCATTTATTGACATTAATTTCCTTATTCGTATCTTAGACAAAGTTATTGTATTAACAAAAGTATAAAGAGATTGAAACATATAAATTTAATTAATGAACATTGTTTGCAACTACAAAAGAAGAAGAAAACAACTGTCAAGGTTGAAAAAGATCTTAAAAGAAAGAAAGTGGCAACTAATTGTCCATTTATGCCAGGTGATCAAGATTTACTGATAGGGGAAACTATAACAGAGATTCAAGATGTAGAAGAGATTGCACAGAAAGGGAAAAGCCTGGAAACTTGTGTATATTATACATCAAGAAAGGCTATTCCATATAGCCAACTAGTATTAGTTCCATATAATTCTATATTACATAAAAACACTAGAATTAGTTCTGGAATCATTTTAAAAGGAAATATATTAATAATTGATGAGGCTCACAATTTATTGGATGCTATTGAAAGAATGCACAGTGTCATGATTACAGGTAGAAATCTATTGCACTGTTACAATCAACTTGTTCAGTATCAAAAAAGGTATTATACATGATTTGCTTTGGCATTTGATAATGTTATTGTTGCTATATATCTTATATTTCAGATTTCAAACGCTTTTCTCTGCTAAAAGTGTCTTGAATTTAATTCAGTTGGGTTACTGTTTAAAAAAACTTTTAACCATTTTTGGAGTCACTACAAAATCAAGTCCTAATGATAATATTGATAAAGAAGTGTCTCCAAAATTATATAAAATAGAAGAATTTGAAGTAATGACAGGAATTGACACAGTAAACATATTTGAATTATTACAATTTATTAAGAATTCACGGTTGAGTCATAAGCTGCAAGCTTTTACAGAACAATATGGAAATCATGTAAAACTTCATAAAAATGATACAAAAGCATCTGGCATAACACAATTTTTAAATTCCATCAAAAACAAGGATTCAAATTCAAATGTACCTGATCCAACTATAGACACAGTAGCAGATGAAGAACGATCGAATAATCCATTATTATCAGTTGTGAGCTTCCTAGAATGTTTACAAAATAATTGTACAGATGGGCGCATATTTATTGTTCCTGGTCCAACTATTGGACAAAGTGTTATAAAATTTCTTTTGTTAAATCCAGCTGCTCATTTTCATGATATCGGTATGGATACAAATATAAAAATATATATGCTTCATTACAATTCAGAATATTTTATATAAATTTGATACATAATTATTGACAGTACAAGATGCCAGAGCTATAATACTTGCTGGTGGAACAATGGCACCAATGAACGAATTTACAGAACAATTATTTATAGCAGCAGGTGGTGCACCTGAAAGAATTGTCACATTTTCGTGCAATCATGTGATTCCTCCAGAAAATATAACATGCAATATTGTAACTAGTGGTCCAACTGGTATTGAATTTGAATTTAATTTTCAAAATCGACAAAACACAAAATTGGTATATATTTTACTGATAGTACATTTGTGCCTAAAGTTATTTTAATCATTAATAGATAATGTACATTAAAAAGATTTTAAAAATGTCAAATATTTCAGTTAGATGAACTAGGAAGAGCATTATTAAATATATCTAATATTGTACCAGCTGGAATTGTAGTATTTTTACCTTCTTATAATTTCGAGGAATTAATGTACAACCATTTACATAAGACTGGTGTTATAGCAAAAATTTCTTTAAAAAAGTGTGTTTTTCGTGAACCCAAATTAACTTCTCAGGTATTGTTATTATTTACTTTAATAGAATAATTTCGTTACATTTTAATATAAGCCACAGATTTTTTAGGTAAACGAAATTTTAAAACAGTATGCACTTCGTATAAATCAGCCACAAAGTCCACAAAACGGATCATTACTATTCAGTGTAGTAGGTGGTAAATTAAGCGAAGGATTAAATTTTTCTGATGATTTGGCTAGAGGTGTTATAGTAGTAGGAATGCCCTATCCAAATGTTAAATCGTTGGAATTACAAGAGAAAATTAAATATTTAAATGAGAATGTTGTATGTATCTTCTTTTGTTTTAATAATATACATTGCATAATATGATATAATTTAAATTTCACATATATACTTTTGTTTATCAGAAATCAGATGCTGGACAAAACTTTTATGAGAATTCGTGTATGAAAGCAGTGAATCAGTGTATTGGACGAGCTATCCGGCATATTAACGATTACTCAACTGTAATACTATTCGATAAACGTTATTCTCAAAAAACGAAAGCTCTTCCACACTGGATTCAACGTACAGTAATAACTCATAATGCTTTTGGTAACATGATTGGCAGTGTAGCTAAATTTTTTGGTAAAAAAAGAAACGAACGCAATAGAAAAATAATTAACTGAAACAAACCATAATAAAAGATGTCCTTTATTAGTATTGGGAATTTTTATTGTTATAATTATTAAGAAAAGTTTGTTACATAAAGTTTGCAAGTTGTACTTCAAACTTGTATGTCAAATCGTGACAATAGACTTGTCCAGGGTATAGTATGGAACATGGAAAATGTGACTGAAAGAAATTCATTTTATATACTATTTTCTTTTGTTTAAGGTTTCGCTTAATTCTTTTATTGTATACTTATTACACAGTTATTATATACATACTAGTTCTTCTCTATATACTTAAAAGAACACTTACATAATGTATTGCAGATGGGTAATTTTGTGGCTGAATACTAAAAGCACAGTACTTTTTGTAGTGAGCTCCGTGTTTTCCTAAAAGAAATTCAAGTTTTTTAGGTTTAGTTATTATCTTTTTCCATGGTTTTTCTATTTTCATTTCTTCGCCATCTTCAGCATCGCTATTATAACTTTCATCGTTTTCATCTGCAGTATTGTCTTCCTAAAGTAATGTTAGTAACAGATACATGTTATTGGTAATTGAAGTATATAAATTTATCATGTATTTACTTCTCCTAGAATATCGTAACTAGTCGAGAATTCTGGAACAATCTGAGGCGGTAGGCGGCCTCCAGTGTAAAATTGTACTCCACGCTGATCAGAGTAGACCTCTAGGACGCTAAATGCCAATGTATTTTAAACAATAACAATATTTAATAACAACTTAGTATATGTAATTTTATCCATGAGTACCGTCCACTTTTTACATGCCAAGCTTTTGCTACAAATATACTTCCAGATTGTCCATTTTTTGTTATACAAAGATTGTGATCATACCCTTCTCCAGGTGGTACCTAGTATTAATGAAATAAAAGTTTTTAATATTTTGAAGTTTCGATGGTGTTTAGCAGTTTTATACTTTTCCCATATATTCCCCTAAGATCCTGGGTATTCGAAAATCCATAACTGTTCCACCTACACCACGTATTGCACCAGTTGGAACCGGATCAGTATAATCAGCAAATGTCCATCGGTCACAGTTCAATAATATTTTATGCTTTTTTAATTCTTTTTCTCCAGCATCCTATCCAATTGTTAATTTTATAAAATTATAATAAGTCATTATATGTGAAATATGTTGTTACTCACATGTCCAGCTAAGTTAAACATAGAACCATGCGATAAGTTCACTATTGTTGGTTTAGAAGTGGTTGCTCGCATACATATTTCTAGCTTATTATCTGCAGTTAATTTAAATCTTATAGTGGTTAACACTGCACCTGGATAGCCTTCTTCTCCATCTTGACTTAAGTAACTCATGACAACTGAGCATCCAGCAATGTATGAATCCCAAACTTTACGTCCAAAACCATTTACCTAATGAAATTGTATAACAGTATAAGTATTACAAAATACGTAACTTATATAACATTAATAATTTTACTCCTCCATGTAAATGATGCTTTCCATTGAAATCATTTTTTGTTAATTCATAATCTTTGCCTCTGATAGCGATATGTCCATTTTTAATACGATTTGCACATCTGCCCAATATACATCCAATAAATGGATTTGTTATAGGATTCATGTATCCTATAAAATTCAATGATATTTAAGCAATTCATTTAACTTTGTTCTTTTAAGAATACAAGCCTGAAAGTACACCTTTCAAATCGTCAAATCCAAGGACGACATCAGCAGTATGTCCATACTTATCTGGACATTTTAAAGACATAATTGTAGCACCCCAAGTAATAACAGTAATTTCCATATGATTTGTATTTGCCATAGTATACGATTTTACAATTTTTGGTACAGAATCAGTAAAAATTTGATCTCCATCGCTATCTGATTTTTATAATTTATTATTAGCTTTCATTTTATGTCACAGTAACAAATAATTCAGCAACCTACCAACCCAAATTTCACCAAATATTCCTTCTGTAATTGTTATATTTTTGCAATTGCAACCATGAAAATCCATATTTAGATACAATAAAATTTAAACGACATTTAATAAGTTAAAATGCTTATGGTATTCAAATTAATACAACAATTTTAACTTTTCAAATATAAAGAAATTTTAAATATTTTATTATAAGAATGTTTTTGTTTAAACAATAGAAGGTTATTTCGTTTTTAAGTATATAAAGTTAATCAATGTAAAAGTACGAGGCACCATTTACTGTAAAAATATGCGTCATAGAAAAGATTTAATTATATTTCTGTTGTTATTTGAAATGATTTATTAATAATAGTAAAGCATCACCTACAGTCTGCGATGCTTAAATGTTACAATAATTGTAATAATTAATATAATATATACTCCGGTTACTATTTATAATTTATATAATTAATATTTATAGAATAATGTACAATGCTTGGAAAAATACATGAATTTTTAGTGCAAATTAGACACGTTTCCCGTTCAATTTTTTGTGTATACTCCATTACATTTAAATCTGTTGAGTAAAAAATCGAAGACAATATTTATTATTGCATTTCTTTAATGAATTCACTTTTTTCAATTTTGCGTATCGTAAATTTAATATTCGTTATAATTTTTTTTTTTCATCTCATTCTGTTTCCATGTCTGTAAATATCGATGATCATGCAGTGCCCAATCTTGTTCGGCAAACTATATTCACCACAGAAAATTCTCTGAAATTCCTACATCTTCGTACAATGTTGTTATATTACACAAAAAAAGTTTTCTTTCACAAGCTTTGGGTTCTGCATTTCATTATTTTTTAAGGCGCACACCAAAGCAGTCATTTGTTACTTAAATACACATGGAACACATTGCACTTAGCTTATTAGTAATACTCTTACAACTACAGAGTAATTTAAAATTTAAATAAATTGCCAGTGATTACGGATTTACGGGTTGCGGTATATTCTACGTCCTCTAAGCTCGTATATTACAAAAAATACTGACAAAAAATTAATTTCACACATGAATACCGAGTAGTTAAAAAACTGTGATAACTCCTCGATACCAATTATTATTAAGTAAGATTGCTTATTATATTTTACAACAAATAAACTTACAAAGAACGGAGGAGATATCACAGTAAATATTTTGTGTACATTAAAACACACTCGTTTTTATAAGTATCTTCTTGGTCATAAATTTTATTGTACAAATTACTAATTTGTAAGCAGCATGCAGTTTTAGTATAACTTCAATAAGGAAATATTTACAATGTTCGTTTGTATCGAAAGAAATGCATTCAGAACAACAATATTTGGTCTTATTCAACTTCTTGATAAAAAAAAAAAGAAACTATTTCTTAACTTTCAAAAAACAGTATAAGTGTACATTTGCAAATCAAATATGTTAACATATAGATTTGAGAATGATTTTACTATTAATAGTATAATACGAAAAATCACATTTTATATAGTTATTCTGAACACTGTTTCTTCATAAATTTTCTCTAATCGATGGAACATATCATCTATAAATGATATTTAATGAAATACAAAACTGGGATTTTTTTCTTACTTTAAGCTAAAGAAGTTATAATATATAAAAAATAAATATAGCTTAGACTAGCACTGTTGGCGATCACACGCCATTACACAATTGATAGTTGATAGCTGCCTAATATTGTATTTTATATATGTAAATAATTATTGTTACTATCAACAATTATCGATATTAGCATTCTAAGACTTCATTAAATATTTTTCAATTACCTTGGAAGCATTTTCAATTTTTTTGTGTCTCTTAACATATTAAGTACACGATACTAGCACCGTAGAATATCTTTGTACAGCATAGAAAGGCATACCCATGAAATATTATTCTATAGGTCTCTAATAATGTCATAAATATTTCAGTCAACTCATTAATTATTCTCGATTACAAGTAAGATTTCAAAAATTGAAGTCTGAACAAGTATGAGTATGAACCAGATGAAATATTTCACATCATAATGTATGTAATAAATTCTTGTAAGCGCCAATTTAATGGGTTCACTTTTCTTGCTTAAGAAACACTTAAATATATCTTCAATGCTTAGTTAATTCAGCTTTGAGAAGGATTTTATTGGCGACATATTAAATAAATTTCTGGTATACAAAAGAAAATGTACTGGGAGTAATGAATTTGTAATAATTATTAAATATTAGAATTCACCAAAAAAATACTTCTTCAAAGTTTGTCTCTTCACCTTTCTTTAAATCTACTGTATATTATTTACATTGCGACATATCCTACAATACTGATTATCATTCAGGAAATCATTAGGAAAGCATATAGTTTTTTTGAAACGAAAATCTGTGTCGCTTTTTAATATTTAACTTTTTATACGAGGTCGGAGAAATGAAGGAATTATTTTGATTCGATACACCACGGCGTAGAACATACGCAACATGTAAATAAGTTTTGATTGGCTTGTAAGTTTAATCTAAATTAATTAGTTGTTACTTTACATTCTTGAACCAATAAATTAAACACATGCACGCATAAAAAATCAACTTTTTAGTAATTAATGAGAAATAGAACATAGATCAGAATACAGGCCTTCTCGAGGGTATTCCTTTCTTTTTTTTTTTACTTAATTAATTTAAAAAAAAAGGAAGGAAATGCATTTCCTTAATATCCGGTATCTTGGTCATATATTAGTAAGTGAAAAATAAAAACAACTTTCGTAGCACTTGTGCATTTAGACTTTACACAGTGTACCTATATAAAGGAATGTATCGACCATTGTTACATTGTTAAACAAATAATAACTATCCAATGTATACTTATATGTACAATATTGATTATGTATATGGAGTGTTTTTGTTCTAAAAGTTTTGTAAGTATATCACACCTTAAACGGCTATATACTTTTTATAGATATACTAAGTATGTTAAACACTTCTCTACAGGTACGCCAATCACTTGAATGCATACTGTTTTTTATATATAAAAGAGGTGTCATTTTAACTGCACACGGCATACTAAATTAAATCTATCACGCTGGTAGCTCACGAATTCATTAAAATTCCTACTGTACAAATTTGTTCACACGTGTACCTAGTGCCATGGTATCTATATAAACATTAAAACAAAACAAAATAATGTCGTATTTGACATAATATAATGATAAACAAAAAAATTTATATGTACTATTATTTTTATGCATTTCTGATGTTTTATATATTTATGCAAAAGAAATTGTATATGCAGCAAAACTTTTCAATGTTTTCCTGATTATATAATTATTTCTATCGTGCTATGTAATAGCCAGTTTAAACATTCAACTATTTTTTGTCAGTCACAAAAAAATTTTGATGGAATGTAAATTAATAATAAGTTGAATATCTCCAATAAATATGAGCAGACATGTGTAGTATGATTAAAGGAACAATAAAGTCTCGTTTCTCTAATGTGGCATTGGATGAACAAGTAGATACACACAATCCAATTCTCGATATCCAGAAAATGGAGCCAATATCATTTTCAACGAATTCGCATAATGTAACAAGATGTCTATAATAGAACATAATACTGTTTTATATACGTTCCCTTCCAAAACATTTAAATTAAAGCATTCGTCCTCTGTTAAATGCTTTAAGTGCCCATGTGAATAATAGAAATACATAGTATTTACATGCTCAATGCCAGCAGCAGATGCAGGATGTGCGGAATGTACGAATAGAATATTTGTAATACATACAATTCAAATAACATTGGGATAATGTTGTTGTCGAATGCGCAATGCAAGAATTACAATCCTGACATTCATACTATTGCTACAAAACATACATGAGACATACCAGTTCTTTATCGAATTAAAAACAGTCTGATCGGATATGAGAGTCTCTCACAAGGATGTCTCAATATTCTATATATGGAATGTTTAATTCTTACAGTATTCGATGACCTGCATTAATACATGAAAAAATGTTCTGCAGGAGGCAGTGCTTTGAGAACGTGCATCGCAGTTTTCTCTAATCGTAACGATTTAAAAATTTCTGCCGCGTCAGATACTCTTTGATTCGTATGATTCTAATTAAGTGTTACTTTCAAGATTGACAAACTTTTCGGATTATTAATTTCTACCATTCGTATCGTTTTAAATAAGCCAATGCTATGACAAGAAATCTCTCTCTAATTCAGAGATACTTGGCTTTCTACTTCTGTTCATTCGTCGATTAGCTTGTAAGGGTACGGTAACATCTTGGTTTTGTCCATGTACAGGAATATCGAGTAAGGTTTCTCTATGCTCGCGTGAAACTCCATCACGGTCGAAAGTCACTGGAGAAAATCGAACCCTACTTATAGAAATCTGGCTATCTTTAGCGGAAACGTAACTAGAGTCCTCGGATGTTAAAGAATCTGGCGGAGTAGGATTCGTAGGCGTTCCTGAACCCGAATTATTTTTGCTTACGCTCTTATTTGGGGAATTGTACGAATAGTTTGATCGTTTTAAACTTGATCGTAATCGACTAACTACTTCTAAATTGCTGGGTCTTTCTCCCGAGTTCGAATTCGAATCGTGAGAATTTTGACGTGTCAGTAATTGTGAGCTATATTCGTGATTAAGCATACTAGGACTGTACGTTCCTACGTTTGAAATAACGTTCGAAGGTCGTTGATAATAATGTCCAGGCGAATACAAAGAATAATCGTCCTCGTCTTCTAAGCGAAACGTTGGATTAATATTACTTTGACTTGATGTACTCGCATTTGAAACATTCGATGAAGTACGATGATGAGTGTACGGTGGAAGTCTTGACACTGGCCGAGCTGGACTATTTATGCTGCTCGGATTGTCATAAGCGTGTGGAAATTCAGAACACTCGAGCATTCTATCGCTAAAGGAGAAAAAGTACGTGAGCGTGAGAATTCAAGAATTCGTCATTGATACTACCGTGACACTTACTGGTAATCTGTTGGTACAAAATACGTTGGTTCTGGAGGTCTATAATATTCTGGTGGAACAACTGTGTATACTGGAGGACCGTAGTCTGGAAAAGGTGCAACGTTTCCCATGTATATCGTTGGTACTCTTTCCATTCGATCCACTCGTCCTGCATCATGCGTGTATACATCTTCGTTGCTGGTACTGCTACTCTTTCTTCTGGGGCTCGGCGTTGGTGCATTAGAGCCTGTACTGCTTGCATAGTGTTGAGGTGAATCCGTGAATCTCAAGGGCTTGTCAGGCATCACGCTCGGTGGAAGACCAGGTGCTATGCCACCCATATTACTTAAAAATGGTCTACAGTGATAACAATGATTATCTTACTATTAATATGAACGTGTACAGAATATAAAATTGTATACAAGACGAAAAACATTATCGTAAACTTAATAGTTTAGTTGTATACCTATAATGTCTAGCTGGTCCATGATACGTATTATGAGGATAACCACTACTCGAACTAAACTCATAGTCAGGCCCAAGATAACCAGAATTACGATTCGATCCAGTGTCTGCCTGAAACCACCATCGCGGAGGTTCGTCTTCTCCTTCGCCAAGCCGTGGATACAATCTTGGATGAATTGGAGATATGTTTGACATTCGTACATCGTATCCAGTAGCTACTCCAGCTAGCATAGCTGCGATATTGTACAAAACCAGCTCTATTATGCTTAACTTTGGTTTTTTCGTTTCTCCATTGTAGAGAGTTGGCATTGGAACAGGCATTGGCATGATGTAAGGTCCAGTTAATCCAGGTTTCAAGGGATAATCCGAAGTTACCCAGTCGGTAGAGAGATCGGGAGGTAAAGCTGTATAATCTATAAAAGCAATCAGATTTCTACAATAATAATGGTGGTACTGGTACATATTTATAAAAGGGACAGTTTTATAATATATGATTAATATTTCTACTTTCCTTTTCGCAATATCAAATCAATTAAAATACTTGTTCCGTTACTAGTATTTCTTTCTTTAATTTTTGTTATAAGAGAACCCTTGATGACTGCATATTTTTTGTCTTACCTTTACAAACCATCTTTAAAGGTCTCTAATAAATATTAAGTACATCGTATTAAATTTACATGAAATCAGTTTAGTATGATAGTTGCAACATGCTAACTTGTTATTAAATTACTTACAATTAATCGTGTATATAAGCACAATGTGACACGTGCATCGTATTAAAACATTACATGCTGCATTCTTGTTTCATCTGACTTTTACTATTAGTAGTTTTGTAAAGCTTAATCATTATTCTTAAAAATATAGTCACTATACAAGCACAAAGCTCATATTTTTTAAAAGAAACGGAGTTTGTTGAAAAACACTGGAACTTTGAAAGATAAAGCAGAGCATAAAGAAAGGAAAAAATAAAAAATATTTGTAAGATAACAAGCACTTACTGTAACTAATTTGAAACAGTTTTTTTCACCCTATGCAATTTCCCCTTTCTCATTTTAGAATCCTTTCTTGTATTCGGTTTATTTATTACTTCATATTACTCATTGAATGAAAATGCAAAAGTACATGATATTAACATTAGAAAAAAATATACTACGTTTCTACTAGAATCAGAATGAAGTAGGAATATAAAACTACCAATGGAGTATTTGTTCATAAATGAGATTGGAATTTTAAGGTAAGAAAAGGACCAAACCCAAACGGCGTTAACTGTTAGGATCCTACTGGAAGCATGCAAAAGGATTCTTTTACGCTCGGCCATCGGCAAAGAATAATTAAAACAATTTAAATGCACAAAAAGTGGACATAATATTCTGTTATTTTTTTTATTTCATTTTATAGTTAGTTTAGCGATCAGAATGAGTATAAAAGAAATAAATACGGAACATTCCAAATGTATGTAACTTTAACTATAAAATGTATACCATTATAAATGTTAATATGCACGATATACTTGTTTTAAAGTTTCCAATTGCGACTGGATTACCACAAACCGAGCGTAAAACTCAGAAAACGAAAAAACAAAATTCAATGTGTCCAACTGAAAAGGTTTTATTGAAAAAATTTCTATTTCTAAATACAAGTGTGCGTGTCGCTCCATGTGTTGTACGTGGTGTGTGCAAAATTTCAGAATCTAAAAAATGTCAAGAGTCTATGATAATACAAAAAAATGGAATCGCTGTTAAATTGGGCTGAATAATTAACAAAATTTAAGACCGACTTAAATGCATGTGAAGCAACACAAAAAGAGGTGATACTCTGTATAAATTTAATTTTGATTTGTACAACTCTCGAAATTACAACTGTTCAAAACACACTTTTTCAATAAACGCTCCTAAATAAGAGAAACAATTTTAAACTAGAATTCTGTTGTTGTAATGGCAGAAGCATATAATTTCTTTTTCATATAGTAGTGGGCTGTTAGCTCTGCTTTTGTTAGAATGTTATGTACTCCAAATAACATCAGAAAAGAACCAACACCAGAAAGACTGCATTTACATTTTATATACTTATTAAATTACAGTTCAAAATATGAAATTCTTATCAATTTAAATTAAGATAAATAATTTTTTAGATTACTTCAGGGTATGAGCTACCCTTTATTAAAATATCCTAAAATAATATAATGTTTTGTAATTTGATAGACATTTGTATCATAATAAAATTAGTCAATTACAAAGGTACCAATTTATATGCGGATAAAATAAGTTTCAATTTTGCATTTGGCTCTTAATCAAAATTTAAAACCATTTCCTATCAGAAGATACATGTTAACATGTATCGTTTCAAATAATTCAATTGAATAAAATAATCTTAAACACAACACTATTGATGTAAAAAAGAACAACAGCAGTTCATCATTAAACATTTGCAACTGTACACATATTGCTAAAATATATGCAAATATATTGGGGCACTTTTCTGGAATAATCAGCAAGTGTAGAAAAACTAACCGAATGGCGTATTCATGCACTCCTACAAAAATAACTTTAAGCACAATCTACTTAAATAGAATTTAGAAAAAAAAAAGAAAAAGAAAAAAAAAGAGGAAAACCTTTAAATGTAAACATAAAAAGGCACTGTCCATTTGAGATCTTTACTTTACTACGATGCACAAAAGTAAAAATATCATTTGCTGAGGCTAACTGAAAGGGAAACGAATCGGGTCTCTCATAAAGTTTGAGTGTAAAACAGTTGCGCAGCAATGTAAAGAGACTTACGAGTGGGATAGATGCTTTCCTCAGAAAGGCCTGCGGTAAAGAAAATATAGGATTGTTACTAAAACATATAAAACAGAAAGAAGACATATTTGTAAAATTGTGTTCACGAATTAAAACGCTCTTACGCACATCTCTATCTTCGTAAAATGCAACGTTATTTATCACTTTTTTTCAAAAATTTCTCAGCAACACAAGTCTTAGACGACGTGTAAGCGACCGTGTTCACGTCCTCGGAACTTCTGTGGGAAGGAACGTCCCTAAGCGATCCAACTAGTTTTTTGTTTGGTCCATAATTAATCGGTGAATTTTGACGTTCACACTCCTGGATGTAACCAGCCGCAGGCATGATTAAATCGATGCTATCGACATGATCCTCCTCATAACTACGTAAATATTCGTTACTCTTTGATCTATGACTTAACGAGGAATCCATATGGAAGCTCTGATCTAATTGCGGGCTCCGTTGCTTCGAGCACGTGTCCGATACGTTGCTGACACAATCGAAAGACGTAGGCGACCTTTTGGATTTGTTCTCGTGGAACAAGCCTAAGGAATTTTTGGAAACAGAACTATCGTTTGAATGTTCCGAATCAAAATTACAAAGCTCCGACTCGAGGCTTTCAAAATCTATCCCTTCTCGTGAGTTCGCAGCCAAGAATTTGGGCACTGCGCTATTTTGATCGGAATCACGCCTACTAAATTGTGGTATAGATATCGCATTATCTAAGACGCTATATTCTACTTTAACAGTGGTTGCTTTATCGTCGAGTGCGTCTCGACTTCCCCAAGCTTTCATTTTATTAAAAACTCTCAACGGGCTTTTAGACATCCTCGATTTATGTTGAGACTTTTTACTTATCGAATTCTCAGGGCTCGACTCTAAACCATCCGCATCGTTGATTTTAATTGCAACGGAATTCTTTCGTTCCGCGCTACGTGGTGAATTCAAGGAGCTCTTTCTCGAACCGGAAGGCGAACGAAAGAAGTCAGCCAAAGCAGCTAATCGTGATTCCGAACTGTCTCTGCGTTTCGATTCTTTCGATTTACTTCTTTCACGTTTCTTCTTCTTCACGCGTTTCGCAGTGCCTACTAAACTAAACGCTACGCTCTGTACAAAGTTCGAAGAATACGAGTGCTCCCATTCACCGGCTATGTGTTTCTGACACTTTGGGGGTGATGTCTTTAAAGTATTTCTATTGGCAGGCTTCGAGTAATTGTCCGTCGCTACCAAATGCTCGTCCGAAAAATGAGTTTTAAGATTGTTCGCCGATTTGTTATGCAATACCACAGACTCGTAAATATCGTTGTCCAGAATAATCGAATCTTCGTCTATATTGCAAGGTGGACAGTTCGTACTTTGCACAATATTATTAGAATTTTCTGGAATGTTATAACTATATCCTGGCTGATTGTCTATCAAATTATTTGCTGAGGAGTACAACTTTCTGGAGGTGGGGTTACCTATTTCTTGAAGAAGCGGGGAGCGGTGTGCGCTTGCCAACAGGGCGGTACGCAGGGGTGTCTTTTCGAGATCTGGAGCAGAGCGAGACCACCGTTTGCCACCTGGTGATGCAGGATTTGGTGGCTGTGTGATAATAGCCCCGCGCTCGCGTTGGTGTAGTGTCGATGGTCCCCAAGTCTTACCCTTTACTCCATCTGCCGGTACTAAAGGAGGAAGACAAAAAACAAAACGCTACTCACTACAATTCTAGTTTTCGCCGCTAGAAAACTCTTTTTAAGCTCTTTGCACGTTTCAAAAAGATAAAGATGTTCCGTGAGATAATCGCTACTAGATTTTCATTAAAATTTTTATATATATCGTAAATTATTAGATATTTAACTAAACTTACGAAATATCGTCTATATCAAATGAATACTACGTATGCAATTACAAAATTTTATAGTACAAAATAATATTGAAAACGCTTTCTATAACATTACTTGAAAAAAAAAAATATAAAGGAAAACGCAACATAAATTTTACATGTAATCTTTAAATAATATATATAAAAGTGTATCGAATTATTCACACCATGCCAATAAAGATTAAATATTAAATTAATACAACGTGACTACAAAGCGCAAACAATGTGATTCAAATTTCTTACAAATACTGGAAAATATCTCAGGGCAAAATCATTCATATCGTACAACACGTAATCAGAATCGTGAACTACTAAAAAATCATAGAAATAATCACTCACATGCGATCGCGCGAAGCCTTGGAATACTAGGCGAGCCTGGTGGACTGTTAGGTCTCGATGGATTCCTCACTTTTCCCCGATCCAATGCTGTATGCTGTACAGTTATCGTGTGACGAAAATCTAAATGAAAATGTTGTTATTACTATAGTAATTATCATTTTCTAAAACATTAAATTAAATTATGCGACAATACACTTACCAGAAGGAGCACTAATGTTACTTCCGGGTTCCTTTTTATTCAATTTTAATCTCGATTTCTTGAACTTTCCGCGTCTTTTGTTTGGTGTAGGAGTATTTTGTTGCTGAATTATCATTACTGTGAGTTCACGTTCTAACAAGTCTATTTCTCTAGCAGCTAATTCTTGCTCTCGCTGCCTCAAGTTTTCTTCGTGTTGTCGTTGTTGTACTTGTGCCTTTGTCAATTCTTCCTCTCTACAGCGCAATTCCTGACCGACAAAAAAATTCAATGATACAAATTTAAAACGAAAACTTGACGATATTTATTAGTTGACAAAGTAAATATAGTTGCTGTAGAAAGCGAACACAGTAATTTTAGCAATTACTGCACATCACCTTACCTCTTCTAAGGATCGGCATGCCTTTGTATAGCATTTAAAAGAACGATTACGAATATTATTTACGTTGATATAAATTACACCAATTGAAGAAATTTTATCTTTGTACAAGTCTGCGATAGAGAAGTTAAAAATATGTACCTTTTCCTTCATGCGCAATCCATGAAGAACTTGTTCAATTTCAAGTCTCCAGTCTTCTTGCATTGTGTGAAACGACTCGTGTGGCGTTGCTGCAAACGCGCTACGTACTTCATCCAGTGCTACTAGGATTTCGACAAATCCTGGCCTTGAATGACTATCCGATGCCCAACAAGCTAAATGATGAAACATTTATCAATTTACTTTAGGGCTGAAGTAAATCAATAGTATTCAAGTTTTTAGCGTTGATCAGGAATAATATACCTTCCATTAAAAACCTCCATGGCTGAGGGCAAGTTGATGGAATAGGCAATGTCAGTTTATTTACAGCAACTCCATATGCTACTGCCAAAGCATCTATTCCTTTATAAGGTGTTTCGCCAGTTAAAAGTTCCCATAAGAGGACACCGTAGCTGCAAATGTATTGAAAATATAATAGAGTAAAACAAAAAATAATTAGACTGATTGAAGTATGGTTTACTACGATTAAAGTGATACAGGAGGCACCTAAAACTGACCTCCAAACATCACTGGCTTTACTGAAAGTACTCTTTTTAATAACCTCTGGTGCCATCCAAGCATACGTGCCTGCTGCTGACATGCGAGTTGTCTTATACACTTCCCTTGCTAATCCAAAATCAGTTATCTTCAACGTCTTATATTGTAGGTCATCATTTTCTATGGGCTCGCTTAATAGCACTATTATTCATGGAAATAATATTGACACGTTGTTTATTTATTTAACGATATACATAGTATTTATGTAAACTATCTTACCATTAGAGCTTTTCAAGTCCCTGTGAATAAGACTTATAGGAGCTTTATTATGAAGGTAGTCCATGCCACGAGCAATTTGTATCGCCCAATCAACAAGTACATCAGGCCTGATTTTTCTACCGCTAAGAACCCTGTTCAAACTACCTCCTCGCGCGTATTCCATTACGAGACACATATTTGGCATTTTTAAACAAACACCTTCTAACTGCACAATATTTTCATGTTTCAGTAACCAAAATAACTTTGCTTCTTGTTGAACATTTTCTAAAGTAACGCTTGGATCTTCGTCCGGATCCTGGCGGGCTGCTTTAACAGCCACTTCGTGTTTTTGCCAGAATCCTCTAAAATATTATTAAAAATTATGAAAGTCATCCTAAATACTTGTTAACATACAGTAAGAGCAAAATGATATACCTGTAAACCTTCCCAAACCCACCAACCCCTATCACCTCTTCTAATTGCAACTCTTCAAAGTCAATTTCAACAGGTTGAACTTTATCGATCACCGAAGACACCCTATCGATACTTTCCGCTTCCGCAACAAAATTGGCAGGGAAAATACCAACTTTTCCATGGATTTTTCCAGTCCACCATCCCTCGTCACCTGAGATTTTTGAATCTTTTGACAGGACCTAATACATAGAATTCAATGCGCATATACTTGAATGGCCCAATGTAAAATATATAATTTTATAGATACATCTGTAATAGATAATTTACCTCGACCGTTTCGCCCCTTTGCAAGGATAACTCGTCCTCGCCTTGAGCAACATAATCGAACAATGCTGTGAAAAGTGTAGAACTATTGTCCTGCCGCGATTGAGAAGAGGAATGTGTACCATGAGAAGGACTAGTCTGTTGAGAAACAGTTCTTGCCGTGCCACCGCTATGTGTATCAGAAACACTGCTATCAGACATATTGTTGCTAGATGTGCGTCCATACAAATATCCGTAACTAAAAATCAAAGCTTAAATAAGATACACGTTTTTAATGTAAAGGTTGTTTGGAAGTTGTCGCATTAACAATTATACACATAAATAATACTTTGTACCTCGTGGAATGATTATTCGTTCTATTATTATGCTGATATCGTGGAGACGAGTTGGCTGTGTTAGGACTATGAGAATTAGAGGAGCCATTCTCTGGGTGAAGTAGAAACCGCTCGCTCCGATGACGAGCATCCGGTTGTCCGTGGTCCATCAAGGTAGACAAGCCTCTTGCCGATAGCCCGGCTGGTGGCATATGGTCTGACACTCTCCTTATTCTTCTCCTTTCTGGAAATTACAGCTTCGTCGTCTTGTAGCTTTCTTACAATATTGCGTCGGTTGTGTTGCAAGTAATAAAATAGAATGCTTTAGCAGGGTTGTTAGTTACTCTCGAAAGAAGGTGAAACAGACATGTACAAGAATCAGTGAGAGTTTTATATCCACCTGCTATTATTATTTTAACACTGTCCACAAATCCTTGCACATTTCACATTATTTTTACACGTGTCCCTCGATACCGCTATCGGTACGCGAACGTAAAACGATCGCTTGACATTTCAGTGATTAATTTAAATGTACGTACACGTTTCGCGTAAAAAATTGTGGGGTGAGAGGAGGTGATCACCACCGCTAACACCCCGTACATAAAAACACTTTAACAGTGACCGGCATTTTGATTCGCGAGTCCGGCAGCGATGTGTGAAGATTCCGTAAATTAACGCCGTTGATCGTAATCCTGTCTGGATCGCTATAGGAATCGAATTTTAGAATAGTAGAAAAATGCTCGATATGCCGTAAAACCACTTTGGAGTCTCGCGTCGGGGTGTGTATACCCACAAGCCACTGTTGACGAGGCTGATTCTCCTCATTGGATCGGGACTAGAAGCAATGTACGCGGGTCGTGCAGGGTTGAAAGCGACGTGTTCGCCTCCCGGAGGACACGACGCTTCGCGTCAGCCCGCAAACCGCACGATTATTCCACATTTAACGATAGAAAACGGACCAGCACTCATAGCAATAACCTAACGGACGCCATGTTTCGTTTGACGGCCCCACCGTTGACGTGATGATATACATGATATATTGGACCGCGATTTATAGGGAGGACATTTGAAAGGCCGCTCGTGTTGTTTCAGTAACTTAAGGTTTATCCACAATCGACCAAAGTTGTCATTTTTTTTTACTTCAATTTTATTAAATAGCAATAGGAATTTGTTACGAATACATCGTTCCTTTTTTACGATCTTATTTGATATTTACGAGTTGTTTACGTGAAGGGATTCCGAAGAAAATTGTGAATGCACGTTTAAGTCTCGTAAGCAGGGTCTGCGCGACATTTTGCGGGGCCCGGTTCAAAAATTTTACGGGGCCTGAATTCACATTCAAATCCTACACTTAAATTTTACAACGCGGAATTATTTATTTACAAATCCTGTTATGTATCTTTTATAAGATGGATATTAAATAATAATATTGGGTTGTCCAGAACATTTTCGTAGACCGCGAGGCCCCTCAAAATACGGGACCGGCCCTGCTCATAAGTCATAAGGTTTGTCCACATGAGAGCAATATTGAAGTTGTCATCTGTTTATGTAAATTTTAGTAAATAATATATGCATCCAATTGAACATTTAAATGTTTTAATAATGAAAAATGCTCTTTTGTTATTTCGAAGAAAATGAAGAGTGATTCGTCAGAGGGGAAAATCACTAGCCATGATAGTTCCTTCTCCATTACACATTTATGTATGGTTAAAACTAGATAATTATTGTGATATGCTGTATGATATGATATGACGCACGGTATAGTAAACTGAAAATGTATCATAAAATTCTCCAAACATCTAACATCAATATCTCTAAATTAGTGTTAACTGCGTTGCCAAGAAGAAAGGATAAATATGCCAGTAATTTTTCCTACTCATGAATCACTGTCCTAGGGTGTTATTTAAATCACGCAAGGCTTATTCACAATAGAATAACGATAAGTCTCCAGAGGAACAAACATTTCCTTCTGGTGACTATATCGTTTATCTTTTTTTATGACTATCGCTTATATGAAGCAGTCCTGAAGAAAAGTGCAAGTGTATACACTGGCCATATATGAAATCGTATGGTTCATGTCCGAAATCATCTGAGAAGTGAAGATGGCTGTGGAGCCCGTGAGTTGTGTGCACCAAATCCATTGATTAAATAAGGCCGAGATAAAATGTATCGCCTTATTGTTTGCCACACAATTTTTCGAATAGAGAAAACAGGCCACGTATAAAGCTGTCGAACAGCAAGCGATGGAAAGATGGTGAGGGAGCACATTTGCCACTGGTATGGGTTCTCAAACGCTGGAAATTTTGAGACAAGGCGTCTGGGCTAGCCTGACAGGAGGCTGGTTTTACGATCCCCATCTCGACGTTTTTTCAAACACCTTTCATCTTTATGTTTGGCTTTTCTTGCTCTGCTTGCCGTTCACCATATACCTTGTAAGTCGATTTATACGCATATTAATTTTCGTTCGCGAGTTATTCTCCTTAGACAAAATAACATTTACATAAACTGTATATGTTTACATTGCCATCGGGGTAAATAATTGTAATTTATGCTTCGTGTATTTAGAATTCTATTATTTGTTTTTTTCTAATATTTCAGACTTGAACGTCGTTAATTATTTTACGATCAGACTGTTATCTATTCTAGATACATTTTTTCTATATACGTTTTTGAAAATACTTGTTTTTTTTTATTTTATAGTACTTTCCACCGACGTTGTGCGTTTGGGTGACATATTGTTCTTCGATTGGAGCACTTTTTGGCACAATAAAATGTGTCAATCACGCGCTTCATTGTGTATATGATACAACAGAGTGCTTGGAGGAATCGGGTCAAACTGTCAGTCAACAAAGGTTGGAAAGTGAAAAGAGGCGCACAGCGCATAACAAAGGCAGGGAACAATCGCAAGATCAAGTAGACCATGGAATAGAGTTACAAGTTTTAAATGGTACTGTAATTTGTATCTTTTAAATTTGTTACATAACTCTTTTGGTTATATTACATTTTTCCATAGGAAAAACAGATACACCACCTGTAGAATGCTCATCACGTAACTCTTTTATTGAATCAAATGTGCAGAATGCAGATGCGGATAGTATAACATCTGAATACAATCGAGACAAACCTAGTTCAACTATTGATTTGAAAGTAGAAATTCACAGAAAAAATAGCTCGGAAAGTTCAGAGGAAGCACAACAGCTCACTAAACCGATGGTACCTAGCATTAATGTACATGAAACAGAATTAGCTTCTGCACAGTACCATGAACCACGTTTTCGAAATATAGTCAATGGTATTAATTTTATAATTTTCATAACAATCTTTTGATTACGATTATTTTCTTACATATTAATATTTGTTTTTGAACGTTTCAAATATATACAGAGAGAAGATTGAAACTTCAGAAATGTGTCGTAATAGCTGAAGAAGACAGACAAGGATCAAGAAAGTTATGCAGACACGCGTCCGAAGAATCACGAAATCGTCATTCCAAACAGGGTAGTCTTGGTAAAACAGGTTCTGAAAGTCAGATAAAACAAACAAGTTCTTTAGAATTGGAACATCATGGAGATGATTATCCTTATTGGAAGTCGAATCAAAGCGTACGACGTCTCAATTCCAATTCGATTCCAATGGAAACTCATTTAATAAACGACCATCCTCAAAGTTTAGAAATTATATCGAAAAAGGAAGATGCTGATAAAAATAAAATTTCGTCCCATCCACAGTCTTTAGAGGTAAACGGAAGATTTATAATTTAAAAACAAGAATACTTAAATAGCATAAGTATTTACGTATTATTTCTTTAGGTTATTACAAAAAAACCACATCAACAACTTATCCACCCGCAAAGTCTTGAAACATTTGGTGCTACTAGTAAAAACATAAACATTACAGATGACAATAATTTACCTCTTCACCCTCAAAGTCTTGAAACAATCAATACTAAAAAGGTATACATCAACAATTAATATATATATATGTAACGTTACGTTTAATATTATGTTGAAAACATATGCATACTTTAAAGGTATTACCTCAAAATACGTTAAAAAAAAACCAACTTCAGCTATTACCATATCTTAGTTATGGATCAGAAATAGTACATCCTATAGCAGAACAAAGCGACGAACAATTTGCTAATGAAAGTTCTGGAGGGTTTAGTCTTCAGGATTCATATAGTCCATTACTCACTCGCAAGACTTGCGAAACTAACGCTACATCTAATCGCGACAGAAGTCTTAGTACTAGCAGATACGACGATAGATTTTCAAGGTAACTTTAAAATGATAAAAGTACTTCATAAATTATCGCGTAATTGATCTGCAGATACAGAATAAGTTTTTCTTACATTTGTCATTGCATATAGATTTAATGGAGATGGTGGTATAGATAATGATTCCGCCAACTCTCGTGATGCACTAATCGAAGAACCAAAGCCTGGTATCAAAAGGAGATACAGTAATGCAAGCCAAAGCAGTCATGAATTCTCTGAAGGTGATAAGCCCAAAGACAAGCAAGATAAATTAAAAAGTATGGATGACCCATTAAATGTTGGAAGTATAGTTGGAATAGATCGATTATTTGAAAGCAGTGATTGCGCACTGGAGTCACGAAAAAATAAAAGTAATTTTCATTTATAAATATTTCATATTAAACAGATATATTTTCTTGATTATATAGATATTTATCATTAAAAGAATTATAACTGGTTGTTGTTCCTTTTATAGATCTACATAATAAAGAACCAGATTCTGGTTCATCTAGTACAACGACCCTAAGTATGGAAAATGAGGTGAAAAGAAAGTTACTTCCGCAATCAGACACGGATAACAAACGACATCAAGGTGCAATACCTAAACAAAGCCGTCCAAAACTTGCAGTAGATACCATAGATGATAATATTACAACTACGGAACAAACCCGGCCAAAACTTAAACGAGCTCTAGGGGTCAGAAGAGACAAAGATAGAGGAAGGGATAGAAGATTCGATACATTTGATAGATTTGAGCAAACTAGTGGTTCAAACAACGAGTTAAGTACGCTTAGTCTTGCGTCGTCCTTATTAGCTACATTGTTGACCTCTGGCCGAGATTTACCTGGTCAATCCAGTACTGTGTCTGATTTAAGACTCAGTCACAATTCTGAACATCGTAATTCACGAGCAAGACGAGGTACTTTGAAACGATCGATTAGATTACATCACGGGCCACGAGATAGAAGTCGGGACGACAATGTTGTACCGCTCACTGCTTTACTTGGATTGATATCGAACGACGAGTGTCATATAGTTGCCAATCACAACGACACGGTAGTACCTTTAGAAGCGGTACCTTCTTTCGGAGATGAAAATAGTCGCTGGTTGGCTTACACCTTTGACGAAAAGGGATCTGGTGTTGCTGCTGCTGCTGCTGCTGCTGCACAAGTTCCTTCTAGCAATAACAACAAACTAATAAATACATTGTTACGTCAACAACTCAATCAAAATTTACATTACGACGCGAATTGGGAGCTTACAGATTCTTTAAGCAACAGTTACAGTAGCCTGTCTTTGAACTCTGCCGGTTTAAGTGTTATAATAGACACGCCGCCTGTTTTATCGAGCCCAGAAAGTAATCAAACTAAAGCACAAAATTCACTGTCGTCGAATTTAGTTTCCTCGAATACAGGAAGCACTAATCATTGTACAGTGGAAATTTCAGAACGAGATCAATTTCATCAGAATACTGGGAATCCGTATCAATCTACGATAGAGACTTTAGAACGACATCAGTTCCATCAGGACATAATGCCACATATGGACTCTACAACAGATAGAAATGGAAGATTACAAGGTTTATTGGGATACCTTAGTTTAAATATTTACTCATCGGATCTTCATCGACGAATGCCTCTTTTAACGTTACCACCGCACCAAGAAACAGATATAAATAGAAGCTTATCTTGGAATCGATTTATCGATAGCTTAGGCGGATCCGATTCTAAATCTAAACAAGCAAGACATTACTATAAATGGAAAATTGGCAAATTACCGCACATTAAAGTGCGGTTCGATCGTTTATTTTTATTGGCTTTACTGGATCGAAATTTGACGATTTTCGAGACTATCATTTCGACGTTTTTGGCAGTTGCTGTTGCGGGATTGGGTCTCGTACTACTTCAACAAGGATTCTACCGTGATATATTTGCCTTTATATTTTGTTTCGTAACCGCCGGATGTCAGTATTCGTTATTAAAATCCGTTCAGCCTGACGCTGCTTCTCCGACACATGGGTTTAATCGTATTATAGTATTCTCGCGGCCTATATATTATATATTATGTTCAGGATTCATACTAATCTTTAACGAATTTCTAAGAAACTTCAAAACGTCTGAATTTCGAATATACGATTTGCGAGTCGCCGATTACGACGTTATATTACAAATTCGTAATATTTTATTAATTTTCCTTTTGTGCTTTCCAATCGTATTTTCTTTAGGTTTATTTCCTCAAATTAATACTTCTTTAATGTATTTTTGCGAGCATGTGGATATTCATTTGTTTGGCGGAAATGCAACCACTAGTCTGATCTCCTCGATATATTGTCTTTGTCGAAGTATCATCACTGTTGTCATACTATACGGTTTTGCTTATGGAGCAATTACGGAACCCAAGTCTTCGCAACATATTTTGTTCTCTATTTTCGCGGGTTTACTAGTGGCTATATCTTATCATTTAAGCCGATCGTCTTCGGATCCCACCGTGATATGGGATATTGTTAAAACGAACTTGTGGCCACCAGAAATTTATACAGAAGAGAAAGAAGCGAAGATCATCGAGAACACATCGCGTGGTGATAATTTATCAGCGACATATAAAGAAGCAAAAATTAGAGCGTCAGGAAGGAAGAAACACGTAAACATTAAAGTTGGCGAGCAAATGTCGGACACAGAATTAGTGGATCCCTTACCTGAGAAATTACGAGCAACCGTAAATGCAAGATTAAAGAACGATTTGATAGTATGCGCAGTAATAGGTATATTGTCATTTGGAATCCATTGTTCAACTGTATTTACAGCTTTGCAACCAGAACTAAACCCAGTTTTATGGGGTATCGTAAGCTGCCTTGGATTTCTGTTACATTACGTCGTACCGCAACTTCGAAAACATTCACCATGGTTGTGCTTGGCAAGACCAGTACTACGTAGTCACGAACACGGACAATTCGAAGTTCGCGAACCAGTGAAAATAATGTGGTTCGAGAAAGCGTACGTTTGCCTTTCATTCTTAGAAAGAAATGTTCTTTATCCAGTAGTGTTCCTGGGAGCGCTCACCGAATGTTCATCAAAAATTGTAAACAAATTTGGAGAAAGCATCGGTGCGTTGATCATAGTTGTATGCGGATTGAAATCCTTGAGGTCTGCATATTCTGATCCATCGACGCGCTACCTGGTTCTGATCTTTGCCGTGCTGTTCTTCAAACTAGATTTCCGTGAACTCAGTGAAACATTTCTCGTTGATTACTTTGTCACGGGAATAGCATTTGCAAAAATTTATGAATTGTTATTGAAAATACGATTTGTAGTTACGTATATCGCCCCATGGCAAATCACTTGGGGTAGCGCATTTCATGCGTTTGCGCAACCTTTCTCGGTACCGCATTCTGCTATGCTGTTCTTGCAAGCTGGCATTTCTGCAATTCTAAGCACTCCTTTAAACCCACTTTTGGGCAGCGCGATTTTCATCTCATCTTACGTGCGTCCAGTGAAGTTTTGGGAACGAGACTACAAGACGAGAAGAGTGGATCATTCGAATACGCGGATGTCTTCGCATTTAGACAGGAATCTGGGTGCTGACGATAACAATCTGAACTCGATCTTCTACGAACAGTTAACAAGATCACTGCAACACAGTCTTTACGGAGACCTTGCCCTTGGTCGCTGGGGAAACGTGGAACAAGGCGACTGCTTCCTCTTGGCATCTGATTATTTAAACTGTTTGGTCCACATTGTTCAATTGGGCAATGGATTGGTAACTTTTCAATTGAGAGGTCTTGAATTCAGAGGAACGTATTGTCAGCAAAGAGAAGTATGTACATTGCTATCGAATACCAAACATTCGAAGATACAATCTATCGTTCAATTTATAAATTATTATTATGATTTCTAGGTAGAAGCGATCTCTGAAGGAATCGAAGACAATGACAATTGTTGTTGTTGCGAAATGGGACATTTCTCGAATGCATTAAGTGTAAACGCAGCTTTCAGTCAGCGTTGGTTAGCTTGGGAAGTTGTGAGATCTAAATACGTTCTGGAAGGATACTCAATTTCTGATAATTCAGCGGTTTCTATGCTTCAAGTATTCGAGTTTCGCAAAGTATTGGTTACTTATTACGTAAAAAGTATTGTTTTTTATGCTGTAAAATCGTCAAAACTGAAATATTGGTTGGGGAATTCCGATATTTCGGACGCGCTTAAAATATCCCTCGACAAGAACTTCGTTGACCTCGATCCTGTTTTCAATATGAATATCGACGAGGATTTCGACTTTCGTGCTAGTGGAATTACACGAAGTAGTTTTTGCAATGTTTATTTGGACTGGATACAATATTGCGTTACTAAACATGATAAGGTAATTCTTTTTGAATATATAAATTATTTTAACTTTTATACAGCACTGTTTCTTTCTAATTATTTTAGACACTAGATAGAACAAGGGATTCACCGCTAGTATCCCTGTGTTTTGCATTAAGTCTTCTGGGGAGACGTGTTTTGGGAGCAGCGTCTCATAATACTGTATCCAGCGTTGAATTCTTTCTGTACGGATTGCATGCTCTTTTTAAAGGTGTAGTATTGTTTTAATAATAACGAAGTAGAATATTTCGTATATGTATAACAATTTTTAATACATTTATTTGTTGTACTTAGGAGATTTCCGCATAACATCGATTCGAGATGAATGGGTATTACTCGATGTCGACTTATTACGAAGCGTTGTGGCAAAAGGTGTGAGAATGGCATTGAAACTACATCAAGATCATTTCATGAGTCCAGAGCAGTATGTCGAATCGTCAGCCCTCTATGAAGCTATAGATAGTCACGATAAAAATCTTGTGATTAGCCACGAAGCAGATCCACTGTGGAGAAATGCCGTTTTAAACGGCGCACCCAGTCTTTTGGCTCTTAGGTATTATATATCTACATACTCTAATAATTGCGAATATTAAAGCACCTTTACATTGCTAATATTATGTTTGTTTGTTTTTTTATAGACACGTTCTCGATGATGGCATTGACGAATACAAAGTAATCATGCTTAACAAACGTTTCTTGAGCTTTCGAGTAATTAAAATGAATCGTGAATGCGTTCGTGGTCTCTGGGCCGGGCAACAACAAGAATTAGTATATTTGAGAAATAGAAATCCAGAACGAGGTTCTATACAAAATGCGAAACAGGCCCTCAGAAATATAATAAACAGTTCTTGCGATCAGCCGATCGGGTATCCGATTTATGTCTCGCCATTAACGACTAGTTACGCAGAAACGAATGAACAATTATGTTCTATAGTTGGAGGACCTTTGAGTCTTAGCGTAATTAAGCGCAGTGTGTTAAAATTGTGGCAAAGGTACTTATTTCTATCATATTACAATTGTAAGTTTTAAGTTTATCATTATTGAAAGTATTATTTTCAGAATCAGAAGAAGATGCGGTCAAGGTTGTTCGTCGGGTGGAACTGGATCGCAAGATGACGGAGGTTTCGGAAATGACGGAGTATACGCAATGACTACTTATAATATTCATTCAGGTATTTGTACTTGTCATACTACGTCAACGTTCATTCCTCATGATATATACATAAGATTGTTAATATAGGTTATACTCAATCGGGTCACAATACATCTGGCTCGCAATCTATAGATTCTGGATGTCAAATTGGTGGATCAACTGGGCGTGGTTCGTTGGGAAGAGCGAATACGGGATCTCTTGGTGGAAATAGAGGATCGTTGGCTTCGGTTGGAAAACCTACGAGCTCGACGCTCGCCAGTTTAGCTGGTCTTCTTAGTAATAGTGATATTAAAACTGAGACTAAAAGCGAAACAAGTTTCTCTGGTAAACTTGAGAGAGACGAAGGTTTCCCAAAAGTTCGTGTAAGTACAAATCTCGTTTTAATTAAAAGTAATTTATGTATATTAGAGAATCTTTATTTCTTTAATCTTAATGGTTTTTTTTTTGGCATTAGATCATAGATCCTAATCAAGTGTACGACGCTATTAATTTGGGTCGTCGGATAGATGTAATTTGGCCTGACGAAAGAATGAGACAGCAAGGTGGTAGATCTGGATGGCAACATTGGGTCCCCGAAAGAGGTATGGAAGGATGCGTTATTCATTATTGGTCCCCGAATCATCGTGATCCTAATCGACGATCTCACGTGGATAAAGTTATTTTGCTTGTGAAAATTGATGATAAATACGTTCCAATAGCGGAACAAGGTGTACGAGACTTAGGGGCAGAAGTGTGATGAAATATTTTTGAACCTTCCATAGTAATACACACTCTGAGAATTTTCGTACAGTCATTTCTCGAATCACGCACCGCGCATATTAATATAAATGCATTAAAAATGAAGATTTCATTCCAACTATAGAATGATAAATACAATTTTTTGATGGGAGATTATTCTTGAAATTGTAAATAACGAAAATCGACGAATTTTAAAAACTAGTTTGTTAATTTCATTATAAAATATAGCCGCAAAATACTCTTCTCTATGCAGTTTTTCGAAGATTTTCATTCGCTCAATATTATTTCTTTTTTTTTCTTTTTCTTTTTTGCTTCTGTATTCTTGGTTCATTGCAATAATTATCCAGTAAGCGCAATTTTCTGGAGACATTTAAAAAAAAAACAACATTAAGCTTAAAAGTTTGCATAAACGATAACTAATATTTTGCCACTTGCAACTATAATAGAAATATTACTGAGAAGACTTTAATACCAATCGCCAAGTTATTCAATGCAAAGTAAATTGTATCATGTTGTATTATACTATGTACCATATAACTATTAGATCGTTTAGTAGTTATGGGAACTAGATGTTACTTGTTGTTAACAAACTAAATTATTATTTTTATCAACGTAAAGTAGTGTAATTGGGTATGTTCAAATTTCACTAATTTACAGTATAAAAATCATATATTTTTTTATTCCTAATAATTATATAGAATAAGTTATACAAGCCTGATTTACATGCAATCGATATAATTATGAGTACTTCTTTGTTCGATGTGTACGAAAATGAAAGTATAAAAGCTATTAGCTATGTCAACATCTATTTGTATTTTGAAACTAGAGTAATGTGATAAATTAGATTATAAGCGCAGAGGTTGCTGTAAATTATAATAGAGAATTGCTTAATTTCTTAGAAAATGAAATAGAAATGCTTTGGCATTATTACCATCGAATATGCCCAATGACAACAAGTAACATCGGTAGAAATTTGTATATAACGTCATTCGTGTTTTTCTACATTTTGTTACATTTTTTTTAAACTACTTGATACAAATAAGTTGTAAATATGCGTAAAATTTCTGCAAGATTAAAGCGTCCAAACGTATTTATTGAACGTGTAATTTTGTGGGGTCATAAAATCGGCTCTACAGAACATATCGATGCACTAATAGCAGTGTTATATATAACTCGAACAACTTGGTTTGTATATCTTTATTGTATGGAAATCATGATGAACTCGGTGGTGTATTTACATTTGATATGCATTTCATTCTAATTTTCGTCGAAATGAATACATTAAAACAATAAAATAATATCATAAAAAACAAAAATGAAATCATTCGTCATGTAAAAACTTATCACACGTAAACGCACCACGATTTTTATCTACAAAAGAAAAATAAATCTATTATCATTTTTCTTTTAAAGAAAGACTTATTAAACGTTTTTTCCTAGTTTTGTATATATTCATATAAGTGAATTTTAAATTTATTTGTTTTACCACAGTTGTTAAAGAAATTTAAAGCGTGTATACTGGTTATTAAAATAATAAAAAAAGATGGGGGTTGCTTGCAAAAACATATATATATATATATATATATGATGTTCTCTTGTTTATGATCGAATAAATAAGAAAGAGTAAATAAAATATATTTGGTGTAAAACATGAATAATTTTGCAAGTAACCAAGGAATCACAGCATTGCCTTATCATGGTGTCTCTTGAAAGCACCTGACTGATAAAGAAATTTTTAGCTAGTCCTTTAATTATTGATATACATTTATGTATCACTTGCTGCCAAGGGACAAAAATCTCTTTCTCCAGGGAATACATGGATTAAACGATCTTTATTAAATTCCTGGCCTACTAATTGCAATCGACAGTACTTTCGTATCTAGATTGTACAGAGATGTTTTACGACGCAGAATAAACAGAACAAAATGTCAAATTAGACAACAATTTGTTTATAATTCCTGCAACTATCGTCTTTTAATGTCTTCGTATTGCATTCGCTATTTAACATTGTACGATTGTTAGCACAATGTTCTTCAAATGAATTTGATTGAGAATGCTAAAATTAATGCTATTAATTGTATTCCATTACGAGATAATTAGGTAGCGATATTAATTATGCAAAGAAAGCAAGTACCTTGATATATATTTCAGTTTTAACATTAGAATTAGTTTAATAAGTACTGCTAGTATGAGGACATCATTGTAGATCAAAGAAGGCCGTTAATCTTAATTATTACAATGTATTGTACTATGTAATACACAATCAGTTTAAAAAAATCATTTTATAATCATATTATAATATAATTGACACATATAAAACATTACCAAGAGTTTGTAAAGTAAGTAACAAGTTATTATTATAAAAATTATAAATAATAAATGAGAATACGTTATCTTTTTAGAAATAGTAACTTTATATTTTATCCTAACATTTATTCATTAGAAGTCAAGAAGACATCTACAGTGAAAATTCTAGTTAGTGTTGAAAATTTATAGAAACTTCTAAATTTTTTTTGAGATTTATAATAGCAAACATGATTGTTCTCCTTGAAACTATGACTTCATTTGTAGGTTTCCATTTTATTTAATAGAATTTTATGATTTACATTTAAAACATGTAATTACTACCGAAGACTTTTTCAGTGGCATAATATTTCTGTCCCAGAATAATATTAATGCTCACCGAAATGAAATTATATAGCACAATACAAATTGCAAGAATATAATTGATGAATTATTAAAATAATTTTACATAATATACAATCCTAATATGCACATGTTTAAACTTCTGTTTTACCATCTTCAGAATTTAAAGGGGGAGTTTGAGTAAGTTTATGTATTAAATTTTCTATCATATCCATATCAACTAAACCTACAAATTTATCAACCACCAATCCGCTTGAAATTGCTATAACAGCTGGTACAGCTTTTACTTCAAAGATGTGTACTAATTCTGGATTCGATTCTAAATCTACAATGGCAAGATCTAATGTATCCATTGGTTCTATAAGGTCTATTAATCTAGGCGTGAGTATTTTACAAGGGTCACACCATTCAGCATGAAAATTTACGATAACAGGTACCGAACTGTTCATTACCTTAGTAACAAATTCACTATTGTTATTTATTTCAAATCGTTTATTCTTCTGGCGGGACAGAGAAACGCTTCTCACCAACATTGATGAAAGCTTAGCAGTGTTGCGCAGCATTTTGTAATTGTATGAACACTGTCAAATATTACAAGCTACAAAAAATGGTCTAACTGCACATAATCAATAGGGATTAGCAGTTGTACATATCTACATTCCTATCTTATCAGTAGATTCTGAAAGATATATAGAAATTAAAAAGAATGAACTCCAGTGTATTGTTTGCTTATACCAAAACTATGGTAGAAAATGTTAATTTCTCTGCCTGAGTTAAGAATTATATATTATTTTAATAATAATCAAGCCTCCAAAAGATCGAAATTGACTATACAACTTTGTAACTATATAACTTTAATTATTTATATTAAATAATACTTACAATAAATATCTAAGAAACCCAATTAGTTATTCGAATTGGCCTGATAGGTTCTGTTAATACAAATTTAATATATCCTACCACACCAATGGTGGAAGATACAACCAACAGCGCAAGTAATAGAATACGCCAAATAAATAAATGATCGTATATCTGAAAAAAAAATTATTATTTTCGACTATAGAAGCATGATAATTATGTAATGACATACAGTTTACATTTCTTCTCTATATTGTATGAACGAATAGCAATATAGTTATGTATAAATACCTTTTTCTCAATAGAGGGAGGTTTCTCAGATGCTCTTGGTAAAATAATTAAAATAATTGTACATATGCTAACTATTAAGATAGCAAAAGCACCAATCCTCTTCTCGATGCGTAGAGTGATAATAAATACAAATAAAGCCAGAGCCCACAGAATCAGAATAAGGAATAATCCTACACCGACTCCAAATATCAAATTACTCATACCACTAAAAAAAAAAGAAAAAATACAAATATACATCTTCCTTATTTCTCAGCTTTACTTCATAATCTTTAATACTTAATATACGATACTTGCTAAAAAGTGCCGGAAAATTATTATGTGAAAAATCGCGGAAGATAACGATCTTAGTAACATAAGAAGAATAAGTATCTCGTGTATTTCATTTTCAACCTACATAGTACATTATCGAACTTTTATTTTGTTCGCGTATATAAATCTACAACTATTTTAAACTATGTGTACTTATATTTCTACAGAAGTACATATCTACCAAGTAAAATGTAAGCTATATATTGTTTTTATTCGTATTTTACAACTCGCTGTACAACGCGATTTATTGAAGCTAATTGTTTATAAGTTAAAAAAAAGAATTTGAAAATCATTTGTCACAGATTATTTTACACAAAACTGTAGTGCAAACTATACCTTTCAACGTTAAATTGTTGCGAACATTGTTAACGCATATATTGACTGTACTGAACAGTTCATGAACTGAATATTAACAAGAAATTTGTGATGAAATCATAAAATCTTTTCAATTGACCACCAGAGGGCTACAAATAATACTAAACAGTAATAATCTAGATTATCGAATCATTCATGACTATATCGTTCGTTGAAAACTGTTCCTATTCGAAATAACTTGTAGGGACTTTAATGATTAGGGAAATTTATGTTACACCCATAGGGAAATACTTTTCCTGCGAAGTGAAGGTGCTGTAGTTATTTGAAATTAAACGTATCTTGCGAGGAACGTTAAGAAACAAGAAAGTTATATATGTGTTTTTGTCGTTCTTAGGAGAGAAATTAACTAATTCTTTGATTGAAAAATCATGAGGCTATGGCTCCAAATTATATTGGAATGGGTGAGTAATAATATTATGTAAATCGAAGTGTGTAAGAAATTAATTTATGTTATTATTTAGCAATGAAAGCTACTTGTTACTTTCAAATAAATGGCATTAACAAGATTAATAAATAAGATTAATCAATAAATCAATGTATTCTAAAATCTCTATGTTGAAATGTTTTTTAGCTAAATTGCTTAGATGTGTCAGAGAAGAGTGTCAAAGATTTGAAAGAATTAGAAGATGGACTGTTTTACAAAAAATTGATAGAGTTGTGGTAAGTATCTTTATACTTAACGATCTTATGATTTTTTTGTATCTAAATCATTATATAAATATTGGATAATATAAATTTTGTGTGTGTATTAAACATGAAATTTTATTTTGCAGCTCTCAGAAAGTTGATCACGAAAGTTTAAGTACAGAAAATATGATCATAAAGTTTTTACAAGGTATGTAAAAATGCAATAAATATTAGTTATATATAATACACAATAATTTATATTTAATTAGAATATTTCTTGTGGACTTCACACAGATGACTATCCTGAATTTAAATTTGATGAAGAATGCGATGGAGAATTGGAGCAACTAGAAATTGCTTCCTTATTTTTGTTACATGTATGTCAATATGAACCATTATTTTATGGACCAATGAGTAACAAATTACAACATGAAACTCAACTAAAAATTAAAACATTTCTCGAAATGATGATTCCTTATGAAAAACGTATAAACAGAGATATATTGAGGACAGTAATTGCTGAGTTAGAAGACAACATACCAAAAACACCCATAACGCCGAAGACACAATCTCTAAGACATTTTTTTAATTCTCCTATTGCACGATCTGCACAAAGTTATAAACTGTTAAATGAAAGAAATCGTGAATTAAGGCAATTAAGAAGTCAATTGGAAATGGAAAAATTTGAAAAAGCCGATTTACAAGAAGATGTACGAATACACCAAAATAAAGTTCAAAACTTACAGAAAAAGTTACAAGAAAAAATTGCAGAGATAAAAGCCTTACGGCAAGAAACAATACAAACGAATACTCCACAGTCTTGTAAAAAAAATAAAACTATTGTAGACTGCCAGCAATATTATAAAAAGGAAATAGATTATTTAGAAAATCAACTGATGCAAAAACAAAACGAGGTAGATAAACTTGAAGGGGAAAACGACAACCTATCCAAAAAATTAGCATGCGTAGAAAAGCAATGTGTGTACTTTAAGGAAAAAATACAAAATTGTGAGAAATCTTTGGAAAACTTGCAAGTTCAAGGAGAAATTAAGGACAGAGAGCTGGTAAATCTGAAAATGACTAATGAGGAACTACGTACTCATTTAAAAGAGTTTAACAAAACAGGCATTGCAGAAAAAAGTTTTGAAATCGATGGAGTATCACCCTTAAATTCATCTGTATCATCCCTAAATACTAGCGAAGTTTTAAGTTCGGTTATTGAAATTCAATTACAAGAAGCAAAAGAAGAATCTGTTTCATTAAAAACGCAGATTGATACTTTAAATAAAAAGTTGGAATCTACCAGCCGCGATTATAAAAATGTAACGGAACAATTACAGAAAAAAACAGAAATGTTACAAAGTACAGAAACTACATTAAATAGCGCCTTAAGTAATTTAACTAAAAAGATTGAATCTTTAAAAGGAGAAAATACTTGTTTAACAGATCAGAACCAACAGTTACAAGATTTGTGCACCTCTCAGAAGATATCTTTATCACAAATCGAAGAATCTAAAAATATTTTAAACACTGAAGTAGAGACTTTGAGAGAGAAACTTAAGAACACAGAGGAATCTTTACACAATGAAAATGTAAATAGCGTGAAACTAAATGAAGCACTTGAAGAAGCTAAGTTGAAGATATGTGAAAACGTTAAATGTATACAAAGTTTAACACATCGAAATAACTCATATGAAACTTCTATTCGTAATTGCAACACAAATTTAAAAGAAATTATCCTTCATAATTTCGAAACTAAAGATAGTGAAAATAATTTAAATGATGCTACAACTATTGAACTTGTGCAATATCTTCGAACATTGTTATGTAAATTGAATGAAAAATATATTTTAAAAGAAAGGGAAGTTAAATCGCTAAATATTACAATGGAAGAAATAAAATTAAAAGGACAACAACATCAGTCACTAATTTTCGAATTGGAAGAGAAGAATAAACAAAATATTATAGAAAGGTCAAAACTCGAGGAAACTATTACACAAAATGTAATAAAAATAAATGAACTTACTACTCTTGTTAAACAATGTACCGAAGAAATTTCATGTTTAAAACAAATTCGACTTCAAAAATTAGCTTTAGAAAACAATTTGTCTATACTTACAAAAGAAATGAATGAGAAAAATTCGTTATTAAATTCTTCTACAGTGTGTATAAAGATTTTAAAAGAAAATCTTAATGCTTTTGTAAAAGAATTCTATTTGATTAAACAAAATATATCAAATCTGTTAAACGAATCTCAAAAACAAAACGAAGAAACCATTAAAAGCATTTTAAATGCTTACAAAATGATGTACAAAAATTTTACCGAAGAACAATTTCATAGGAAAGAAATAGAAGACAAACTTGCTGATAATGAAAAAGAATTGAAAGATAGTCGAAATTTGACGACTACATTGAACAATGGTTTATCGAAACACAAACAGACAATAAATGATTTAGAGGCCGAATTAGCAAGTACCAATGAAAAATTAATGGTATCTGAACAGAAAATAAAAAAACTTGAAGAAATGAATGAAACACTAGAAAATCAACACAAGAGTAATAAGTCTCAAAGGGAACAAATTCTACTTGACTTGAATAATATAAACGATAAACTTAAATTATCTCAAAAAGAAGCATGTAATATGTCAGATCAATTAAAATTCAAAGATGCCAGAATTGAACATTTGGAAACAGAAATTACTTCTCTAAAATTAGAAAAGGAAGATATTATTCATCTAAAAGTGGAAGGAGAAACTTCAATGAAATCTTCTATAAAAGATATGGAAAATAAATTGTCAGAAAAACAGCGCAACTTGGACGAATTAAATGTAGAAGTCAAATTGAAACAAGAAATCCTTGAGTCTGTACAGAAGAAATTTGAAAAATTATCGGAAGAAACAGTTACTTCTGAAATGAAAATGAAAGAACTAATTTTGAATTTTCAGGAAGTAAGAACTAATCAAGATGCAGTTTTGATAACTCAAGAAAAAGCCTTAAAGGAAAAAGCTTTGCAATTAGTGCAAATCCAGAAGAAATTTTGCGAATCGAAGAATGCACTTTATAAACAATTAGAAAATGAAAAATCATTATGTAAAAATTTGCAAACCAAAAACTCCGAATTACAAATTGTATCGTACAAACAAACGAAATCCATAGCGGAATTACAAGAGTTGCTGAAGATAGAAAGAGACGAACATAACAAAAGTAAAAAATACTGTAAAATTGAAGATACGAAAAAGGTTGAAATTGCGCGGGTGTGTAAAGAATTAAAACATTCGATAAATGATTTGAAATTAGCAATATCAGAGGCAAATTTAAATAATGAAAACTTTCATGCTGATGTCTTATGCGATTCATCGTGTACAAATAATGATGAGAAAACTAACAGTATTTTAAATACTCTACATACATCTATTAGGGTAATTCATAAATCGCGTAAATTAATTTTGCATCTGTCCAATACAAATACAAACTTGAATGAAACCTTAGAGAATCAAAAAACAGTTGTAGATAACTATGTTACAAAATGTGAAGAAGTTAAGTCACTAAAAAATAAGATACAAAAACTGAAGAATGCAAAAGAGAAATGTATGGACTATATAAATGATCTTATTACGAATAAAGAGTTATTGAGGGACTCTTTACAAAATATTATACAATCAAGAGAAAATTTGGATATATCTTTAAATGAATTAAAGCAAAAATGGGATGAATTGTTAATAAAATTCTGTAGTATTTTTACAATTAATAAATCGATATGCGATGAATTGAAACATATACAAGCCAAAAAAGAACACCTTCAAAACGTCTTGTTTAAACATAATGCTCAACACTTCCAAAATATAAAATCCCTGCATACAATTTTATGGCAAAAGTTCTTATGGACTGAACAAACATTAAAAAATACTTATTTGGATTCAGCAAACAACGAACAACCTTTCAATATTCCTATTAATAGTTTTTCGGATGAAAGAACGTTAATAGAAGCAGAGTTACAAAAAAATACGATGTTACAAAAAGATATCATTCAATCTCGGAATGAAATAGACGATTTCTTTAAATTAGTTACTTCATTCGAGATTAACTTAAAATCTGATGAAAGAAAGTATCAGTCTGATGTAGAAAAAAAATTACACTTACAAATTAATGAATTAGTAGAAGAGAAGAATAATTTACGAAGCAAATTAGACTGTGCACGGATTCAAAATGCGGAATTAGAAGGTCGTATCGAAGGACTCGAGACTGAAATAAAAGCACTGAAGACAGTTTCATCAAAGAACATAGAAGATTTAAAAACAGAAATAATGCAGTCAAAGCAAGAAATCTTAAACTTGCAAATAGAAAGGAATGAATTAAGCAAGCGGCCAAAGAAAGAAGATGTTGATAATCAGTTGAAAGAAATTAAACTCCACATGGTAAGCACATATATAATACCTTTAATTTTTGCAATCATTGTAATACGCTTGTTTCTGTGATATGTATATTACAGAAAACT